TGCTTTGCACCTGGTCTGCCCAACCGCTGAGAACTTGCACTTTTCAGACCTTTGCTCCCCCCCTTAAATGGAGCAACGCTGGGCTTGGGTGGAAAATATCCGGACCCTTGCTGGTGTTCCTCACAATGCTTCATGGCCAGCGAGGCAGGTGTTGCAATTTGTGCGTGAGGAAACCATCGCGTACCGCACAATGGAGCAGGAGGTCAATGTCCTGAAAGCGCCCGCATCTGCAAGCTGTGAGGCGGCCATTGATCGTGGTTTTGAATATTTGAGTGATTGTCTAGAGTGAATTGAGGTCACTCCAAAGCATTAACCCAAACCACCGAGGCAAACCAGCAGCCAAGGGTATGCAGGGATGCACGTGGGTGCCTTTTTGCACCGTCCACTTGGGGGCTCCCCAATCCCCACTCCCCTCATAGTCCATTTCTTTCCCTGAAGATACCCTTAGGTTGCGAAGCACAAGCCTTATTGCTTTTGGCACGAGACAGATCTCTTCACCAGAAGGGTTGGATGTCGGTTTGCAAGGTTTGCATGTCCCCTCCTCTCTCGCAATCCAAGGCGTGCATCAACTGCACCCAGATCGTTCAGGTGCTCGGCGTGGAGGCATTGGATGGCTCGGATCGGGCAGATGGCGACCCGCACAAAGAGACACACCCAATTGGAGTTTTGGTTGCCACAGCTGCCACCACAATTTCCTCTTGGGACTCCCTGAAAGATCCTATTACTTTGTTGTTTGCCGTTGCTTTGTTTCCCAGAGTTTGAGTATCAGGCACAGGGACTTGGGCGGGGCTTTGAGTCACATGCCATAGCAGCGGGAAGCAAGACGACCACTTCTCACAAATTCGTCTCCCTCGTTGCGTGGGTCGGTGTACCGCAGCACCCATGTGAAATGCGCTTTGGGGCCTCCGAATATTTCACGAGATTTCCCTTCGGATGGTTCAAGCATCGCCTTTGGGCCATGGTCATGCGATGAGCGTGGCATGCAAGTCGCAGGTCATCGCCTTGGGGAACCAGCCGGCACGGCTCAACGTGGCAGGGGCGGCTCAGCGGGCTGATTGCCACGGGAATTCCCATTGAACGGGTTCTAATCAACGGCTTCTGATCGCTCCTTTGAGGACAAATATGAGTGTAACATTTTAGCCATTTTAGTTAGTTTCCATTTAGGATCACCTTAAAGAATCGACACTGGATCCTTTTCCAGTGGAGTTTGGCTAATCCTTCATTTTGAACATCTCAGCGGCAATGCGGCATGCTCCCACCTAAAGCTAGCTTGGAATGTCAAAAAGACAGTGAGGCAGTTATTTTCCGTAAAGCTATCTTGGAATCTGCATTCTTTGTGTAAACTCTGCGTCGGCAGTGCTGTACCTAGCACCTTACGTTTTTCCCCCGACGGAGATGCCACACTGGCCGATTTGCATGTTGCAAGCACATATTGCATTGAGGTGGTCAAGCCACACATGAGGGAGGGGCTGTACCAACTGTTTTGAAGTGAGCTGCATCCTTGCTCGCCGCCGTCCATCTTGAAGGCCCATGCTATACACCAAGGATCACTTTGCACAAGGTCGGGGGCAACATTGATTGAACAATGCAGACCGCACTTTCCGGTGAAGAACCAGCTGTCCTTTAGACGCTTGTAGTTTGCCCAAGCCTGCGTCGCACTGCGAGCGACGGGAGTTTCCAAAGATTCGCACCCCTGGCTGAGAAGTTCTCCAAGCGTTCACAAGGCCTGGGGTGGCTTCCCTGAATGGAGTTGAGTCGAGGTATCACAGGCATGACCGTCCCTGGGCCCAGTGCAAAAGGCGTGCAAGGCTGACGAGACGGCAATGATCCGGCAGCTTTCGGCTCAACAGAACATGCCGGGAGAGCAAATCGAAAGCCATGTGCTCCTCGCATCAGACTACCATGGAGTACCGTGACAGGATGCCTGTGCCGGCAAAGAAACCAAAAGCCCAGGAAGACACTCTAAGAAAGACTTGGGCCATTTCCAATGGTAAGTAGGCTGTCTAGAAATCTGACCGCCTCTGCACCTTGCCGTTTGGCACAGCTGGAAACCCGACAAGTGCGTTAAAGCCCATGCAAAAGCAGTCACTTCACTGCTGATGTGGCCCTTAACGCGATTCTGCGCGTTTTTATCACTTTGCAACCCACTCACAGCTCAGCCTCGCAGGGCGAAGACCCTCCTGCTTTCATGCCGGCTTAGTTTGCGCTGGTGCATGGTCCAGGAGTGAACCGCCTCTTGCCTGCTCGGAATGGCAGGACTGACACCTCCAGCCGAGTATCTGAAACAATGCTCCAGGGGCTGGGCAAATTACGACCTCCAGGGGTTCAGGGCCATCATCCGAAAGCAACTGCCCACGTTAGTCACCGTTTGCTTGTGGATTCGGAAGGAGCGCCGGCCGGACCCCCACAGAATTTGCTGGTGTGGAACCCGCACTGGCAGTGCTTTGCGGGGCGGCCCAGGTGTTCAAAATCAGCTAGCTGGTTGAGAATGCCCAGGTGGGATTGGACGTTCGAGAATCCTTGCAAAGATTGCCGGAAAGGCCTGAAAGACTTGCTGACCAGCCTTGCCCACCTCGTTTGCCGGGTGATTGGGTGTAAGTGATGGTGAGGCCAATTCTCGCAAGGGGTTGGCTGTTCGATCACAAGTGGTGAGGACAGCGGGTGGTAAGACTTATGCTTCTCGACGCTCGAAGTTGTGCGCTTGCCATGCCCCCTGTCTTGGCGGCAGCTACCTTTGAGGCTCCTTTGTCCATTGTGGCGTTGGTCTGGGGCTCTTCTTGTTTGCAATTCCAGGTTTGGAACCAGAATGACTGTGCAGAGAACGTGGTGGAGGCGTTGAACACGCCCCTCATCCGCATTAGCATGTTGCTCTCATTCTGGCATCCTTCCTTCCCACTACCATAGATGCTGACGGAGGGTTTGGAATACTATTTGTCCGCGACGCGCACACCCACACACCCACCCACCCACCCACCCACCCACGCACCCACGCACACACACTCTCACGAAAGCCCTTTGTCCACACATGGACTCAGCTCCCACGATGGGTTGGAGGTGTTTGGCGATGCTTCTGCGACAACCCTGTCGGGCAACTGTAGGGAAAGGTGTTTGTTTGTTTGTTTGTTTTGTTTGTTTGTTTGCTTGCTTGTTTGTTTGTTTGTTTGTTTTGTTTTGTTTTGTTTTTTTGTTTGTTTTGTTTGTTTGTTTGTTTGTTTGTTTGTTTGTTTGTTTGTTTGTTTGTTTGTTTGTTTGTGTGTGTTGTGTGTGTGTTGTGTTGTGTTGTGTTGTGTTGTGTTGCGTTGCGTTGCGTTGCGTTGTGTTGTGTTGTGTTGTGTTGTGTTGTGTGTTGTGTGTTGTGTTGTGTTGTGTGTTGTGTTGTGTGTTGTGTGTTGTGTGTTGTGTGTTGTGTGTTGTGTGTTGTGTGTTGTGTGTTGTGTGTTGTGTGTTGTGTGTTGTGTGTTGTGTGTTGTGTGTTGTGTGTGTGTGTTGTGTGTTGTGTGTTGTGTGTTGTGTGTTGTGTTGTGTGTTGTGTGTTGTGTGTTGTGTGTTGTGTGTTGTGTGTTGTGTGTTGTGTGTTGTGTGTTGTGTGTTGTGTGTTGTGTGTGTGTGTTGTGTTGTGTGTGTTGTGTGTTGTGTGTTGTGTGTTGTGTGTTGTGTGTTGTGTGTTGTGTGTTGTGTGTTGTGTGTTGTGTGTTGTGTGTTGTGTGTGTGTTGTGTGTTGTGTGTTGTGTGTTGTGTGTTGTGTGTTGTGTGTTGTGTGTTGTGTGTTGTGTGTTGTGTGTTGTGTGTTGTGTGTTGTGTGTTGTGTGTTGTGTGGTGTGTGGTGTGTGGTGTGTGGTGTGTGGTGTGTGGTGTGTGTGTGTGTGTGTGTGTGTGTGTGTGTGTGTGTTTGTGTTTGTGTGTGTGTGTGTGTGTTTGTGTGTGTGTGTGTGTGTGTGTTTGTGTGTGTGTGTGTGTTTGTGTGTGTGTGTGTGTGTGTGTTTTTGAGGGAACCCTTTTGGCTTTCGTTTGAGCAAAGAGCAAATCCCTGAGGACGCTGGGCAAAAAACATGTCGGGGGTCTGCCGTGCGATGAGGTTTCTGGTGGCCTTCGACGTGGACTTTGCGGCCGTCATCGAGCTGGCCGCCCCTGGCTATCAGAGCCCGCCCCGCCCTCAGAAGCCGCCCCTGCGCGCGCGCGAACGCGCGCATGAACACCCTCCGCAAGGAGTAACTTTTGGCATGCTTCCCCGAAGGCCAAGCGCTTTTGCCAATCAGACGCCGTTGGGCAGTGCCATCGATTTGTTTGGATTCCCCATGGTTTCTTTTTGTACGTGACGGCGGTGACCTTGACCATGTTCCTGACCCGGTTTGGAGTTCCATTGAGTTGGGAAAACATTCGCCTCAACCATGGTGCGACTCCGAGTGGCGTGTGTTTTGTGACCGCGATGTGATCGGCTTCCCGCAGTTTCAACACTTCTCCTCGCCTAGAAAATTGGCGCGTAAAGGCCAGTGCTGCGAAAGGACCTGGAATGCCTGATGCGTTGCTTCTTTGGTTCACTTCGGGGCCCTGTTGGATACGGCCGTCTGCTCCATTAGCCGACGCTTCTGCGGTTTGGCGCTCTTTTGCCCGTGCTTCCCGATGATCTCATTGCAAGCAGAGAGCGCTGGCGACGATGTGTGCCGAGGTTGGCAAATTGCTCGGCCCAAAAGCGCGACAAGCTGGTTGCAACCCCTCGTGCTCGGTGTGGTGATGTGAACTTAGTTTCTACAGCTATACTGCGCCACAGTTGCCTTTGCTGCCAGGCTGTTTGGCAGTACCATCATGCATCACGCGGACATTCCGCTTTGTGTCTTCGATGATTTGGGAGGCTGGCTGCAACTGACGCTTGTGCAGATTGAGCATTCAGCCGCAGTCGGCGGTTGGTGGTGCGACGGGTCGTCGTGCGACCTCCATTCTGTCAAATGGTTCAGCCTCAGGCGCAGAGACAAGATTTGCCTTGGCTCCGTTCTGCCAATTCTGCTTTCCTCCAATCTTGCCTTGGTGCAGTTGGTGCTTTTAGCGCTTCGAACGCCGTGGCCGTCTGGCTGTCGCAGTGATTGAAAAGTTAAGTCAGTCACAGACGTTAGGCTATGTTCCGCAAGTTGGGGTTTGGTAGCCTGGCAGTCCGAGGAGGCTCCTGCCCCAGGCGTCGTTGCGCCTACTGTTGCACAAGCTAACCGCTGCGTCAGTGTGATTGGGTACTTCGTATCCTCGTGTTGAAGCGCGGCGCCTTACTTGATTTGGGGTCGAACTCCCCCCTGCTTCCTTGAGTCCCTTGCCGGGCTCTGTGTGAAGACTCAAAACGCAAGCCGTTCGCTTCCGCCGTGATGTCATAGACTTTGCACATGCCAGTTTCAGTTTCGAGCAAAAAGTGCCGTGTTGATCTGCAAGCCGTGGATGGTTGTTGTTTGCACGAAGCTCCAGGTACTCCTGGTTAGTGTTTTGAGCCTGCCGAAAGGTGTTTAAATCCTGGCTCTGTGGCAGCTGCTAGTCTTCGTGACGGACGCTCCAACTGCTGGTGCGATCTGCTGAACAAATCCCATTCCGAGGTCAGGCTGGGACTTCATGGTCGGCAAGTGCGGCCATGACTTGGTTCATTTGTTGCCTGGCTGATACCTAGCGGCATGTCATGTCTTTATCAGGCAACCTTTCCGTGACCCCTGGGGGGATTTCCTATGAAGTTTACATACGGCATCCCTGAAACGACCTGTATATGGAGCCAGATAATTCAACCACACATTTGGTCCCTCCAATCTTCTTTTTAGGCAGGGGACATGGCACATCACTGGAATGGTTGGGTGGCCTCTCAAGCGATTGGAAAACGGGATGCAAAAAAGGACCCCTAGAAGCCTCACGCCTTGAACAACCAAGCGTTTTGATCAAATCATCTCTCTGTGCAACCGGTTCTTGGACACATGGAGTGGCATTGACATCCCTGGGCAGCCCAATCCCTTGGCTCCCCTCACATGGCCACGCAGCATGCACCCCGGAAACGCGAATAGAACTTTTGGGGTTGGCCAGTGTGCTCCAAGAAACAAATCCACCCCCACACCTTACCCGGAAGGGGGAGAACAGAGTTGCCCTCAGCTGCTGTATGTCCCATTACATCCCTGGGGGTAGTGGTTTGGAGGTATATAGTGGAAACCATCTTAGACATGAGCCAAACAGCAGTGACCCTAAAGTCAAAGGGCACCCCTTGTCAAACTGCGCAGCTCGCGTCGTTTTAAGTTGAATGCAGGCAGACGAGCTGCAGGTCCACTGCGACAACGGTCCGGTACCGTTTAGCGTAATGCCAACATAACTTCGCAGTTGGAAGGCGATGCTTTGCATTTTGAGCTTTGCCTCCATATGGGAGGGCTTGGTTGGAGATCGGCCTCACTTGTGCAACTGTGATGGTGGATGCTTGAAAGTCGCAAGTTGTTACGGAGGAATCATCCCACGTGGGGCTTGTTGGACAGCTGGCTGCGATTTTGCTGGGGTGATGGTCAGCAGCTAGATGAATCCTGGAATCCTTGCACATTCCATGCTTATCTGAGGTTTTACAACCGGATGCGCTCGAGCCTTGGAGTATTTTGCGGTGGCTCTCTAGGCCAAAACGAAGTTGGAATGGGGTCTTGGATTCTTTGACGTTGATGCCTCAAGCTCCGTTGACTTGCAATTCTGATGGCGGTGCGGGCCCCCCGTTCATGCCGCCCAGGCAAAGCCACAGTCTCGGCAGCAAGCAACATCCGCGTCTGTTTGCGGCTAGGGAGTACGGCACTTTGCTGACTCGGTATTGATGCAACTTGAGTCGAGGGGTGCAGATCAACATTTGACATGGCCTACAACCGAAGCCTGGCTTCCCGTGCTGCCGCATTGCAACTGGCACACTTTTGTTCCAGTGACCTTTGCATGAGTCTATAAGACTGTGTGTTTGCCACCCCCCTACTTAATATTGAGCTGTGACGGGCAAAAAAGCCCATAGGGTGCCAAGGACCTAAATTTTGCATGAGGCAACCCAACTTGGCCAAACTGAGCACCAATGTTTCTTAGGGAGCACGGGGCCAGTCGTAACTCAATGGCATGGATTTGTTTCAAAGTCATGCAATATTTCTTCCGTCCACCGTATGCCAAGTTGAATGGGAAACACCCTCAAACATGTTTCGGGTCAAACGCTCCAATTCATACCCTCCCCACGCAGTGTTACATCGTTTATGTCTCTCAAGGCCGTTGTTGAGTCTTTTCCCCCAGAAAGGGCCTGAAGGGCCCCTTTTGCCTCGTGTCACAAGGCTGGGAGCCCAGTGGCGCCAACGTCACGGGCTGCATGCAGCCAGCGCCGCTGGATCGGCCGCGCCTGGGATTGGCGAGTCATATGTCGAGGAGACCTTGCGGCCGGAAGAGGTGTGTTTCTCCATCTAAATGTAAAACCCAGTTTGGCTTTTCCCTCCTGGAACCTCTAAGTATCTTTTTTAATGGTTAGTAGGCTTGCTCCGCCAAGGCCTGGGAAGCAACAGACTCCACATGAGTGTGCCCCAGCCACTTCATTCGTGGCTGGATTAACTTTCCGCCCTAGGCTGTTCTTTGAGGAATAAATTTTGCTGTGTTGTTAATGCCGGGATTGTTTCTATCGGAGTTGCGGACGAGAGAGCGTTTCCTTCCCGGTGAGCCTACATTCTTTCATGAGAGAAGTTGGGAAGATTCCCAGCTAGGTTTGGATGTTGGCAGTTTGTTTCAGACTTGGGCCCGTGAACGCGCTTCACCATCAAACCTCGGCTCCTGTATAGTAAGGAAACCCCAAAGAAGGACATTCAAAGAGCATGGTTCAATACGTGGTTGGCCCAACCTTGCTACCCTTTTTTCAAGAATCCTTTTCGGGCTAGGTGCCAGCTGAAGCAGGATACTTTTGTTTTTTCACCCGGGCTGTGTGTGAAGAGACATGCGTTGGACCCCATCCTGGCCACTGGTTTCGACCTGCAGCTGGATCTGTATTCTGGTCGCGTGGCTGCCACTGATCGATATTTCTGGTGGCAGTATCTCACCATGATGTTTCTTTCATGACAAGCTGATCAAAACATTTCCCTGGAGGAAACTTCGAAGGCTAAGTTATCCAGACCAGAATCGGTGGACACATATGTGGATTTGCCACACCATCAGACTGTCAGACAGCAGCTTCTCATCGTTTCTGGAGTCAAGCGCTCCAAGTTCGATCTGTGTGTTTGCCTTGATCCTCAAAGTGCTCCCTTTTCCGACTCGGTGCAGGGATCACTTGGCAATGAAGATGGAGCCTCATCAAAACTCAAAACACAGATGAAAATCTGGAGATTGGCAGGAAGACAGTTTCACTTCACAGGGGTCCTTCCATCACACTCTATGTTTGTGTTTGGGAGAGTTGTGAAATTAGGAGTGCATCACTAAGCCTCACGCCCTGCTTTCGGAATGCGAGGTTTGTCGTCCAGCATTTCGTGTCCCCTGAGGGCGAGAAGGTGCCTGGGTGAGTGGGGTTCAAAGTGGGGTCCTTTACCACTGACAGGAAACAGTTCATGATCGGAATATGGCAAAGCCGGTATAGTTTATCCATCTCGAGAAATCATGATCTTACAACTTCACCGGTCAATCGCCACAATTCACCACCAAGATTCACGATCATCAGTGCAGGGCACACGAATTCTTTGAAGCCGGTATTTTCGTCGTGCCATCTCCAGATACCTGCTTTCACTATGTAGCTGAACAGACATCAGTCCTGGCAGTCTTGGTCAGTATGCAAAGACGAAATGGTGCCGTGTCATCAGAGGCCTGGCCTCACTCGAGTGTCTGCAGTGGTCTGCAGTGGGCATGAAAGCAGTGTCTCACCTTTGCGGACCCTGGGATACCTAGCCCACCAAACTGAACTAAGACTAGAGATTCCCTTGAACGCAACATACCAGTCTTCCCTTCCTTATGGCCCCCCAGACATGGATCACCGGGGACTGATCCAGGTGATCGCGACTGCGGCGCACTTCCCGCACCCCACATTTACGGAGGATTTGGGGGTGCCCCTTGGCTCACGCACACATGGCCAGGACTGGGCTGGGCGTAAAGAGAGTTCCGATCTGGGATTGAGTTGGTATACTTCCTTTCTTTTTACCATGACAGTTTCCTGGTGAAGACGACGCAAACAGTGGACACGATGATTGAAGACAATGTCTTGCACCAATCACGGGTGGTGCTAGTATTTTTGAGCGTTTGCATCTTAGCCGGTAGAAATTGGTGGTAGAAATTGTTTTTGTTCTTCAGCTGCTCACCAGTGTTCTCCCATGCAGATCCCAGTTCTCAAACTTCTTGAAAAAAGCACGGGCACGGACCGGGCGATTTGCTGGCCAGGTGTTTCTGCAGGCCGTTTCCGGGATTTAGTTTGATAGGGACGGAGCACACGCGTAATGTGGCATGTGCGCTGTTTCTCTCACCATCAGCTCAGGGGTGTTTCGCTCCTTTTGCGGGCACCCTGGAAATGGAGGCCGGGGGACTCGGGGACGGCTGAGGTACCGGCAGACGGCGCAGACCTCGGAGCTGAAGAGGGCCCTGGAGGAGGTGAGGCAAGCCACCGGCACGGAGAAGGCCGGGGGCCATGCGTGGGGACGGTTGGGCTGGAGCGGGGAAAACAGGGTCATAGGCAAAACGAAGGAACCTGGAACATGTGTGCTCCTGGCTATTCTGAACCGTTTTGCTGGAAATGTCCAGGGCGTGTGGTCATTTCGCGCCCTGGCCTGCGGCTGTTGGGAATCGGCGATGCTTCCTGAATCTTCCCAGTTTCCTGACGTTAGGGTCTAAGACACATTTCTGGGGCGACCTTTGGAATCCTCCCTAGTTGGAGTCCCCCTCAGCGAAGGTCGTCCTGATGGCCGATACGAATGCCTGGAGCTGGGTCTCAAACGTGGCTCGGCTTGAAGGGTGCAAGTGGGGGGGGGGGCAAGCTGAAAGCAAGTGGGTATGTCCTGTTTGAAAAGGTAGCCTTGTTTGAAGCTAGCCACTTGGCAAAGATCCCAAATTTGGAGAAAAGCTGGACATGTTTCAACGTGCTGCCATGCCTAGGACAGACACACAGCAGCCAAAGTCCTCTTTTCAGCAACAGGATGCTCTAGAATTCAAGAGGCGCGCCAGGTGCCCGTTTCGCATGTTTGCAGCTTGTAAAACAGGGTGTGCCCTCTTGCCAACTTGCTAGCTGTCTGTGAGATTACGTGGTACGCCAATATCAGCCAGGAGTTTCAGATTTCACCAGCTACAGTTTGCAATCCCAAGCATGCCCGCTTAGAACCTTTCTTATTTTGCCGCAACCTGCAATGAGGGGGTTGTGGGAACGCTTGCCGACTGCTTAGGATATGATTTGGCACGATCAGCTGGCACTGCCAGGCCGTGAGCCGAGCGCAAAATTGCATGTTGGGGTGCCACCCCTGCCTGCCAAGCTTGTCCTGGGCACACCCAGTTCAACGCGCCCACGGAATTGGTGGGATGGGCTCTCGAATCAATAGCTGCGGTTTGGGGCTCCCTGGTTCCCTTCGGTTTTTTGCTTCAAGAGCTGCTTGCTGCGCGAGCTGCTGTCCTGTGTAATTAAATGTTTCTTTGCGGTTGCATGCTGATGCTTTGCGAGAGCCCGTGCGTTGCCAAGCTTGCTTGTCTTGTCGTGACATGCCGCTCAGAGCTCTTGCCGGCTCTCGACCCCCCCCTGCCACCAAGAACGAAGAAGGGTGACCCTAATGCACTCTTCTTGTTTCAAAGCAAGTGCCAGTGTCAAGTTGCCGCAGTCTTCCCCAAATGTACATTGCCGCAGCGATCCAATTTGCTGCTGCTGCTGCCGCTGCCGCTGCTGCTGTTCCTGTTGCTGCTGCTGTTGCGGCTGTTCCTGCTGCTGCTCTTTTTGTTGCTGCTGCTGCTGTTGCGGCTGTTCCTGCTGCTGCTCCTTTTGTTGCTGCTGCTGCTGCCGCTGCGCAACAGCATCGGCAACAGCATCAGCAACAGCATCAGCAACATAATCAGCAACAGAATCAGCAACAACAGCAGCGGCAACAGCAACAGGAACAGCACCATGAGCAAGAGCAACAGCCACAGTCACAGCCACAGCCACAGCGACAGCGACAAGGACAACGCCAATGACAACGACGACGACGACGACGCCGACGACAACGACGACGACGACCACAACAACAACAACAACAACAACAACAACAACAACAACAACAACAACAACAACAACAACAACAACAACAACAACAACAACAACAACAACAACAACAACAACAACAACAACAACAACAACAACAACAACAACAACAACAACAACAACAACAACAACAACAACAACAACAACAACAACAACAACAACAACAACAACAACAACAACAACAACAACAACAACAACAACAACACACAACAACAACAACAACAACAACAACAACAACAACAACAACAACAACAACAACAACAACAACAACAACAACAACAACAACAACAACAACAACAACAACAACAACAACAACAACAACAACAACAACAACAACAACAACAACAACAACAACAACAACAACAACAACAAACAACAACAACAACAACAACAACAACAACAACAACAACAACAACAACAACAACAACAACAACAACAACAACAACAACAACAACAACAACAACAACAAGGAAATCCACAGGGACAAAAACAACCCGGCGGACCGAGAACCGCGCTTGCGGTTAGCCACATTTCTGGAAAAAACTTGCGTTTCGCCTAGGCGAAACGCTTACTGTGTCCCCAAAAACGAGGCCGAAAACAGGGGTCAGTTTTTCATGCGTTTTGCGTTTCGCCTAGGCGAAACGCGAGTTATCTCGCCCACTCTGCTGCCTTGCCGTTTTCACCTCCGGCGCAGGGCTCGCACAGTCTGCGTCTCCACATCTCGCTGTCGCAAGATGTACCGCCACTGCCAAGACTTTACATAGAGATACAGCAGCGGCGATTGCGAAGACAGCGAATTCGGGACATATGCTTTGCATGCTGTGTTGTGTTGTGGCCATGCTGTCGCTAGCTGCTTGGTTGGCTGGGTGGCTGGTTGGTCGGTAGGTTGGGTGGGTGAGTGCAGTGCTGAGCGGGTACGCGTGAGCGGGCGTGCTGATCATGTGGCAGGCATGACTGCAGTGCTGAGCGCGTACGCGTGAGCGGGTGTGCTGATCATGTGGCAGGCATGACTGCAGTGCTGAGCGGGCACGCGTGAGCGGGTGTGCTGATCATGTGGCAGGCATGACTGCAGTGCTGAGCGGGTACGCGTGAGCGGGCGTGCTGATCATGTGGCAGGCATGACTGCAGTGCTGAGCGGGTACGCGTGAGCGGGTGTGCTGATCATGTGGCAGGCATGACTGCAGTGCTGAGCGGGTACGCGTGAGCGGGTGTGCTGATCATGTGGCAGGCATGACTGCAGCGCTGACCGGGTACGCGTGAGCGGGTGTGCTGATCATGTGGCAGGCATGACTGCAGTGCTGAGCGGGTACGCGTGAGCGGGTGTGCTGATCATGTGGCAGGCATGACTGCAGTGCTGAACGGGTAATCGTGAGCGGGTGTGCTGATCATGTGGCAGGCATGACTGCAGTGCTGAGCGGGTACGCGTGAGCGGGTGTGCTGATCATGTGGCAGGCATGACTGCAGTGCTGAGCGGGTACGCGTGAGCGGGTGTCTGATCATGTGGCAGGCATGACTGCAGTGCTGAGCGGGTACGCGTGAGCGGGTGTGCTGATCATGTGGCAGGCATGACTGCAGTGCTGAGCGGGTACGCGTGAGCGGGCGTGCTGATCATGTGGCAGGCATCACTGCAGTGCTGAGCGGGTACGCGTGAGCGGGTGTGCTGATCATGTGGCAGGCATGACTGCAGTGCTGAGTACGCGTGAGCGGGTGTGCTGATCATGTGGCAGCATGACTGCAGCGCTGCGGGTACGCGTGAGCGGGTGTGCTGATCATGTGGCAGGCATGACTGCAGTGCTGAGCGGGTACGCGTGAGCGGGTGTGCTGATCATGTGGCAGGCATGACTGCAGTGCTGAACGGGTAATCGTGAGCGGGTGTGCTGATCAGCGATGCTTCTGATTTCTGCCAACGAACTGAAAACACGCACGCCGTTGAGCGCGGTTTTCGGTCCGAGGGGAAAAACAAGGACAACAGCAACGAAATCGCCAACGACAGGGACAACGGCAACAAGACCTACAAAGGCAGCAACGGTAACCGCAATGAGGACAACGCAGCTCGCTGATGGGTTTCCGATGCACCGACGGCATGTTGCTTACAATGCACATAGATGTCACGAAATGGCACAAGAGACATGTCAAGTTTGCATGGGCAAGACAGTTAGCCAACGTTTTCATCTCTGCAACTGTTTCGACATGCACGCATGCAGTGCAGGGATACGGGCACCCGTCGGCTTTTTGCGTGACGCTACGTGAATGTGTGCGCTGTCTTCAGGCAATACAAACCAGTGCTTTGGAGGTTAGAAGGCTCAAACACGAAGCACAGCTTCAGATCAAGGAGTGTCATCATCATCATCATCGTCATCATCGTCGTAATTGAGAATTAAATGAGAAAACGGTCTCCTAGAGCATTCTCTTAGCCTTAAGCCTCCAAACACTTCTCTGAAGCTTGTGATGGATTTGGCCGCGAAAACATCACGAATCTGTGTTTGTCGCAAAGGGGCAGCAAAGGTAAACAGGCCTTTTCAAGGTTGGATGCCTTCCTTTGAGAGGACAAATCGAGGAATTCAGGGTCCAGAATTGGGACCCTCGCTTTTGACCCCGGATCCATTTGCAGGGACCCTGGTGAGCACCGACCTGATGCAGACCTGCTGCCGCTCGGTTACCGGGAAGCGGCAGTTTGGCCCGTGCCGGTTCAGGGCGCGCTTGGCTGCTGGGCTACCCGTTGCTGGGCAAGTTGCTGTTTCGTTGCGTGCTCTTGTCTTTTCTGCTTGCATGCTTGAGCCGACCGGCAGAAATCACCCAAGCCAGCCTGTGCTAAGCCAACCTTGAGCCACCTCAAAAACAATGTCGCAACAAGCCCTGAAACGGGTCTAGGCTTGAATCCACGCAACCACCCGATCCTTCGACCCTCCTCCCACCCTAAATCAAGGCAAAGCCGATCCTGCACAAGTCTAAAGCCTGCACGGTGACGACCACCCCAAAATCAACCCTGAATCAACACTGCACCAACGTCGCAAATCCCCCACCCCTTGGCTAACCTCAATCATGACATCCACCATACTTTTGCAAGCAACTAGCTTGGCTTGGTGGTTGCAGCTGTGGAAGCCAAAGTGCGACTTCTTTCTGGCTTTGATTGATGTGGCTGCGCTGCAGGCAGCATTTGGACCGGTATAACAGGACTGCGTTTTTGCAATTCCCCCAGCACCCCTTGAAATTCCCTCTGAAACGAGGATTGTCAGGGTCTGCTCACGCCGGGCGTGAGGTGCGGATGCCGGCTTCCCACCGGCCTTCACCTTTGACAGGATCATGGCTCCTTTGATCGGTCAGATGGGCGGTGCAGGGGGCACCATCGGATCGCCCTCCTTGCCTTGTGGACACGGAATATTTGCAGGATGCGACCTGAGATGAATCAGGCTTCAGGGGCACAGGGCGTGTGCTCACTTGTCATTTTGGACATTTGGCGGTAGTCACTCAGTCCAAGTTGCTCTAAAGGAGGGAACTCCAAAATAGGTGCTTTCCCTTCAATCCATTTGAACAATCCTTAAAACCAAGGAGAATCAAGCTGTGGATTGCGTGCCAGCCCATCTCATGGACATTGGCAAGGGCTCCTGCTTGGACCGATATAGGTAGAGCATTGGCATGTTCACTTGGTTCACTTGTGAAGCTTCCCTGTGGCAACTGCTTGTGTATCCTTCTGAAGAAATTGAGGACCCTGTGGACGGCCCTTGGATCATAAGGCAATCAGCGATTTCTGTGGAGTCAATTTTAGAGAAACACCAGAGGCATTTTGTCAAACCGCCGATTGGTTTCTTCTTTGCGTAGGTGGGACATTCGTGGGGTTCTGACCAGGCACTCCGTGCTGATGCGCACGGTGTGTTGAGGCAAACTTTGGGAGCAGCATGTCCAGCACCGCCTTGTACGGCGGGGACCTGCCGAATTGGACCATCCAAGTGAAGGGACGCGCGGCGAAAACTGGGCATGGGGGCGAAAAGTGGGGCCCCCGCCTTTTGGCTGGGTGAAGCGAATTTCAGAAAGCAGACTCGCAATTCAGACAAGCACAATTCACGAAACAGTTGCACAAAATTCGGAAACACATAAAATTCAGGAAACAGCAACGCACAGTGCAGAGAACAGAACAGGCTAGAATGGTCAGGACAGACGGGATGGTCAGGATGGTGGGATGGTTGATGGTTTTGGGGAATGTTTACGAAGTCACATGCCGAATGCACTAGCCCTGAACCTGTCAAATCCAGTGTAGGAGGGCAGCAGAGGCTTGTTGTTTTTCCCCAGACTGATCCTGACCTCGTGCTAGACAATGGTGGCAAGGGTCCTTGACGAAATCCAGGTAGTCCGAGCGACTCTCAATTTTGTCTCTATGAGTTCTCGGGCTTGCCCGTTGACCTTGTCGGCGGATGCGGAGACTGCATGCAACTGTTCTGTTACATTGGCGGCCCCCTTTTCGAGAGAATGCGCCATCACCGGGTTCAGGTGGTGGACGTTGCTTTTCTTTCCCTTTTCAAGTAAATGAGCCACCTCAAATAGCTGGCCTCGGGCCATTTGTTGTGTTTTTGTTCGAGGGGTAAACGTAAACGACCAAACAAACCTTGAAAGGCAGTGGGACACTTGGCCAGTCGGCCGTCCGAGGGCAGAAGATTGGCGCATTCCACCGGCCGGTGGTCGCCCGGGTGCAGCTGACGTCTGCAGGCGCGATGGTGGGGTTTTGGGCGGCAAGGGGGCAGAGGCGGCAAATTGTCACGAGCTCACCTGCGGGCAAAACGAGCTTACCCATGATGAAGGTTTCTTGCGGCTGGATTTGTCATGTCCGGTTGTGGCCTGTAGTAATTTGATATAAGTTGGAGCATGGACGTATCCATCGCTTTTGAGTTGAGATGACGCCTACCCGCTTCCTCTAGGCCGCAACCAGGATCGTTCTTCTCCATGTATGGCTGTTGGCAATTTGCTTATGGTGGGCGCCTACAACACGGAAGAAGGTGACTGTCCGCCCTGACGCGAAGGCACAAAGCCGGAGCTTGTACTAGAAAGCGAGTTTGCTGTCCGTTTTGTGCTGGGAGTAAAGGATTGATCTTGAGCTGAACTCTTGATGTCGGACCGAGGCCCGTCGTGCCGCTTCCAAGTAGGGAAGCGATGATAACCTCCTAACCCCCAGGTCTTGCCATGTCTCGCAATGGGTCACATTAGCCTTGTGGCATCGCCTGGAAACCCTTGAAGGTCGCTTTGCTGATGGGTTGGTCGCCTGGGTTCCAAGGGAGCCCCCTTCGGTTTAGGCGGAGGCCTCAGCGGCGTGTGGATCGCCATGTGGCTGCTGCTGTTCAGCACCTTGGTGCTGGCACCTTGGCAGCCCCTGGCCTGTGTTTGTGTGAGAGTGCAAGGTGTGTGTGTGTGTGTGTGTGTGTGTGTGTGTGTGTGTGTGTGTGTGTGTGTGTGTGTGTGTGTGTGTGTGTGTGTGTGTGTGCGTGCATTGTTTTTGAAAACGGGTTTTGTCGTTGTGCTTTAAAGCAACACCAAAGAGAACTCTCAGATGTTGGAGGTTCCCCATTTGAACAGCAATTCATTCTTGTTGGCCGGCGCACATGGTCCTTTGCGACAACCAGCTGTGTTCCCGGAGATGTTGAGGATTGGTCTGTCAAAGCAGCGATCTCCGGAAGTTGTTTTGTATTTTTGGGAGGGGAGGGGGTGGGAGGTATGCGGATAGAAGCCTGGCCTGGTTTGGACCTTGTAGGTGGGAAGCCACCAAGCGTTTCCCCTTTCCTCGGGCGACTATCAATCATACGGGTATGTGTCAAAATAGGGAGGCCTTCTGTCCCTTTGGATCTAATCTGACAAGAAACACAACCCTATTTTCTATTTTAGCGCAATTGCAAGCGAGCTAGGGTGACGCTTGCAAGCTAGGGCGACGCTTGCAGGCTAGCGCTGCCTTGCTCGCATCCCGGAACACAAGCAGAAACCGGACGCCAACCATTCAGCCATTTGGAAGACACAGGAAAGCGCACTTTGAAATGCGGTCCCAGCGACACTGTCCCAGTCCGCCAAGAACCGAGTTTCTCAGGCGGGCGTCTTGGCAGCGCTGCTTTTCAGGCGGTGGAGACGCCGCCGCAGCCCGGCCACGAACATTGAATTGAACAGCGTCACATCGAAACATGCGGTGAGTTGATGGGAAGAAGCTGGCTTCCACATGAACTTCTGTTTGGACCATTGGAGTGTTGTTCATCGCCCACCCCCTTACATGGAGGCTGGAGGAGCAAGCGCAGGTCAATTGGGGGCTGCAACCTTTTTGACGTTTTTGGGAACATGGTGGGTTGCCTAACGCACGAACTTGTTTGCAGGGTTCAAAGACCAATCTAGCGGTGCCAAGGATCGTGCGATGTCAGGGCAAAGCGTGCCGTTGATCATTTTGACAAGAAGTTCCATTCCCTGTTTGGCAGGCATAATGATAGTGGGGCTGGACGCACAAAATATCAGTTGGATCTTCATAGGCAATGGGAGTTGAGGCCAGCGCAAATCTAAGTCATCTTGTCGCAGTTGCGTATTCTTGCTGCTGGATAGTCTTTTTGGACGATCAGAACTATCGAGTCTATCGCAAGATGTGTACTACATACGTGTCATCTACCCCTCCGCACAAAGTAAATGGATATGCCATTGACTAATTTCAACTGTCCAAGTGTAGATCAAGTGTGAATATGTTCTTTAGAAAAACTGGGCCATTTCTTGTGGAAGTTACATTGGGACTGAGCCGACTCCCAAACATATTTCGGAACAGTTGTTGACCCTCTTCCCCGAACTGAGCCACCCCCCTTTTGTGCGACGGGTATCAAGTGATGTATTGGCAGATTTGCCTTAATCTCCTTCTTTGGTCGTGATGTATTCATGTATTTATGTAGTCATGTATTAATTTGTTTGATTGTTTGTGCGCGTGTATTGATCTACTTATTCATTGCTTGATTTCTTTACAATGTACGTATCGACAATCCGTCTATTCATGTTCATGTGTTTGCCAAATTTCATCGGCCCTACCGGTAAGTGTTACATAGATGTACGCGGAAAGGCCGACGCTCGCCGTTGGCAAGCCCTGAACCTGTCCCAAGCCCGCTTCAGGCAAAGGCTCCGCGCAAGTGGTCGCCTTTGCTCAAGCGGAAATCCACAGGAAGGTATCGGATGCATCGCGTTTTCACTTGTCCGCTTCTGCGAGCTTGCCTGTAGTTTTGCAAGACGGGCAACATCACCTGCAGCCCAGGTTGTTTGGTTGGCTGAGCCGTGCTTCGGCCGCGGTGTTACCAGCACATGCCTTAAAAAGCACCTAGCTCTCTTACAGCTGACATTACTTGTCCACGAGCATGACGTCTGGCTAAAGCCTAGGGCGACACTGTCGCCAAGCCAGCGCAGCCCAAAACCCAACCCCCAGTCTTGGCCGTTGTCAAGCCACGGCGAACGTTGGCTCCTGAGGGTACATACATACTGTAAACAAAAACATATGTACATACATATATACACTGATTATTATACACTGGTGTTTATATTGGTGAGCATTTGCATAAGTATCTATTCATTGGTGCTTCTTTCCATGGTTGCTTTGCGCGACTCTTGCCGAGGCGACGAGGAGTATACGACCTCCTCGTCGGGTGAGGAGGAGAGCATGACCTGAGGCGTGCTGCCAAAGTGCCATTTGACTTGGTTCAGATGGACCCAGAGTTGTTATGATTCATTTCCTGGCCCATCAGAGGACCTTCCCTCTGTTACGGGACTCTGCGATCGGCCAAGATGCGACCCGCGGAGTTTCCCCAGGCCATTTGAGTGTCCCGATCTGGGGGGCGCCCCTTGTGCTCCAGCAAAGGATGCAATTTTAAACCAGCCAAAAGGATCAGAGACAGAGAGAAATATCATGAAGATGTTGCACGATAATAGACAGACCGCGTGCGCACTGCGCGTGTATGACGCCTTTGGAACAAGCATGATTGACTCGCAAACAAATGAAGTTCTGATATCTCAACCGCTGCTAGGATCGTTGTATGTGCACGTTGGCAAGTAAGTGAAAAACCGAAAGCAGACAATTTTGTGATGAGGCTCTAGTTGTTTACTCTTTGTTTGTTTCGCTTCGCAAGAAGCTATGCAGGATGGCAAACTTCAAAATCGATGCTGCCCTGTTCTTCTCCTGGGATCCATCGTGCGTCAGCGAACAGCTCCCACTTGCGCAAAGCTGACTGTTGGCTAGAAGGCTTTTGCGAGGAGGGGCACACCCCAGGGCGCGAGGTGCAGCTCAGGTACAGCGCGCGCAGAATTGAAAGGCCGTGCCGGCTGGCTTGCATCGAGCCCGCGGCCGCGGGGCGTAGACGCGCAGACGAGAAAAAGTCCACTGACCGGGCGGGGGAAGCCCAAGGTCATGGCAGAGATGTGAAGAGCCTTCTTGAAGCGTACGGCCAAGAGCCTTAAAAGAAGAGAATACTTGGCAACCCAAGGTGACGTCAAGATCTAACATGATGCCTGGTCGGCGTTGGTGGGACGGTATGAAACATGGCATCATTCGTGCACTCAAATGAGAGACGTGTCCTTGGTCATGGGTACTGCTTTGATGGGACTCACTTCACGTCAAGACTCACACTGGTGCGCTGGTGCTGGCCATTGCACCAGACCTAGAAGGCCTTGAACCTCGGTGATGCCAATGTCAAGGGAAGAAGTAGGGTCCACGTTCTCCTTGCCTTCTCTAGGCTCCTCTTTGTCCACCCGTCCAGCCCCAATTTCAGGGCTGTGTGTTCTCCGACCTGATTGGGTTCGCAAGAGAAATCATATGAAGTCAGTCACCATGTTCTTGGAACCCAAACGGAGTGTAACAAATACAAGCTCCAACTCCCATTCAACGGGTCTAATGAGTGGGTCTGGGTCAATATTCAACCTCTTACATCTTTGCCCTTGGCTAAAACCATGAAGAACAAACGTAAGTAAATCACAGCTCTAGGGGCTCCCACTTTTTGTTGGACCCCCTCCCCTTTCTTTTTTGACTTTTTGACTAGCTTTCTGGGTACCGTTGACCCGGTGGCATATGCCAAGCTCCCAGGACTCGAGCGCGGCTCGCTCAGGTCATGGAGCTCTGCGAGTACGGCTCCGTGAGCGACGTGCTGCGGAAGCTGCAGGGGCCCCTGAAGGAGACTGGAAGGGATCCGGGGGCTGAAACGGAATAAGCGAAGCTGTGCATATATGTCAAGTCTGTGTAACAATACATATTAATAATATATATATATATGTATATTTTCATACAAATATATATTATTTAATGGCCTGCGGCCTGGTTCCGCCGCCCCCACACACCTTAGAATTTCGGCCCGGGACGAGAGAAAGCACGCGATATGTAGACAGACACAGACAGACACAAAGACACGCAGACAGACACGCAGCGGGGGGGGAGGGTCTTCGCGGACACGAAGACAGACGCAGATGCGCAGGCAGACGCAGACAGAGCCAGACAGACACAAAGACACGCGGGGGGGGGGGACACGAAGAAAGACGCAGATACGTAGACAGACACAGACAGACACAGACAGACACAAAGAGACAGAGACAGACACGCAAGGGGTCTTCGCGGACACGAAGACAGACGCAGACAGACCCAGACAGACACAAAGAGACACAGACAGACACGCAGGGGCAGGGGGGGTCTTCGCGGACACGAAGACAGATGCAGATACGTAGACAGACATAGACAGACACAGGGGGGGCGGAGGGGTGGGGGAAGACTACCCGAAGCCTAGGGAAGAAGCCCGAAAGCACAGGACACGCGCGTTGTTTGGTCCCGAAACAGTATCGGAAGACTAGGAGAAGAAGCCCCACTAGGACTCGGAAGGGAAGGGGGGGGGGGGGGGGGGGGGGGAAGGGGGGGAGGGGGGGGGGAGGGGGGGGAGGGGGGAGGGGGGGAGGGAGGGGGGGGGAAATCAAAATTCCAGAAATTCAGAAATCCAGAGATCCAGAAATCCAGAGATCCAGAAATCCAGAAATCCAGAAATCCAGCCGACGTAGAAACCAGCCCCAAGGGCCGCCCCAAGGGACATATAGGTTATATATATATATACACATAATCATATTCACATTAAACTTATAGAAAGCATATCCACAAAAGCAACACAGAACACACCGCCCCCATGCCGAAAGCATGGTCCATTCTGGACCAGGCATGGGGTCGGCGGATTTTGTGTGTGGTTTGAAAATATGCTTTCAAGATAGTTTATTGGTGTCTCCTTGTGTGGTAATGCGCTTTGTTGGCTTTTTGCAAGGAAAGCAACGGGAAACCACGAATTGGGGTGCTTAGATAAATTTCAGGCCAACCATGTACAAGCATTTTGTGAGGTTAACCATGTACATGCATTGGTATATTGTTTTGCTGCCATACAGATGTGCTAGGCAAATATCGCAAACATACCCAGCAAACATGGCAGTGACATGGGGCCTTTGTCTGGCGCAGGACTTCCCGCACTCGCGGGATTGGACCGGCACGCAGGGGAGTGCTACCCTGTGTGACTATGCTCTACACAGAATTTCTTTGCGGGTTTGTTTTGGTAAAACGATTGACCTGCTGTTCCATTCGTTGATTGATGCGGCATATCCGCTGGCTAGGGACAGCACGGGTCGGCACCAGCGCCGAGCAGCTCTTTTGAAGAATTACGACCGCCGGTCAACCGAACATGGCTAGCTTCCCAAATTACTATCTGTTGCAAGGTCGTTTCCCAAAGTGGATTGCCTCTGGATTTTACGGCTTTTTTCTGGGACTGCTAGTTGTGCTGCTTCTCCCCCATCAGGAGCAGGAGATTCGGATCATTGCCAGGGAGGTGCCCGAGGGGGGGATGGGTGGGGGGGAAGGGTGGGCCGGGGGGAAGGGTGGGGCGGGGTGGTGGACGAAAGGCCTTTGGGCGCAGCTTGAGGGGGAAGGGCCATGGACGGGCTTTTTCAGCAGATCTGTTGATGGCGGGCGGGTGGTTCCAAAGGAGATGAAACCGTCCGCAAATCTCCAATGAAAGGGGCGGGGTCTTAGAATATCTTAGAATGCAGTGACCAGACCCTTAGACGCAGCTCTTCTTGGAGTCGAACATTGGGTTTGCATCCCTTGTTTTTCCTTTTGATATTTATCGCCAGGTGGCGATTGCGGAGACAAAGTTCCTTCATGGGTGAGGTCACAAACCTTTGTGAGGCCGCTATGTTTTGCCGAGTTGAAATACTGCACAGACGTCGATCCAACCGCGGCCGTTAGTGTGTGGCTTCCTCCACACGGGAGCTCATGTAGTCCACGTCTATGTCAGGAGCCGAGGCCGGGGGGTGGGGTGGGGGGATTTGTGAGCAGCATAGGTGTGTTCTTTTTGGGTCAGCTTTGAAATCAGTGGCACTGGTTTGGTTCTAGTGCCACCAAATCTTCCAAAATGACATTTATGGCTGAGTAGATCAGCTGGTATTTGTGCCTGCAACAGCAAAACAAGCTGGTTGCATTTGACAAATGCCACCAACTACAGCAGAGGTGGCTTGTAACTTGCCGTTGCAAGTTTGCCCCTCGCTATTGTGAAAAATACTGGGTGAACCTCTCTTCCCAGTTTTCGGGTGAACCTCTCTTCCCAGTTTTCGGAGGTCGTTTGCTGGGCCTCAGTTCGAGACAGAGAGAGAGAGAGAGAGAGAGAGAGAGAGAGAGAGAGAAAGAAAAAGAGGGAGAACCACGCGCAATTGCACTGAGCGTCATGTTCAGTCCTGCTTGATGCTATGTGTCTCTGTTTGTGCTGCAACACCAGGCTGTTTCTGTTTTCGAAAGCAAGGCGGAGGGAAACAAGCAAAGCAAGTATGAAGTTGCCAAGCCCGGGTTTTGGCAGCTTGCCTGACTATGGCAGGAATGGCTCATGGTCAAGGTGGTAGAGCGCCTGCCAGTCTTCGACGCGTTGCCTGTGCGTGCAGCCTCACAAGGCTCGGTTGCCGGAGGCGGCTCAGGCCAATTAGCCTCGCGTCTGAACGTGGAACCCTGTTTACTCAACCCAGCGGGAAACGGGGACTGCGCCCTCAAAAAGATTCGCCTTGTTGGATGCAAACAATTCGACCGCTGCAAGGCAAGTGGCCGACTTGCCTCCGGTGAATCGGATTGGTTTCTGCGAAATCTTTGGGCCTGTTGGTGGTCATTTGAGGCGGGCACCTTGTTAACGCCACCGCCTGGTGGTAAAAGGAGGGCCGCCCACAGCTATGCAACAGCCTTCGGGTGGATGACTGCTCATTTGGATCCTACTAGCAGGCATGTAGGGCTTGGAAAGTGGGTTATACTATTCTGGCTTGACTGCCTGGAATAATGTGGGCGAAGCGACAGAGTGCTCAGATTCGCCATTGCACATCCGCATCTTCTTCCTCAAAGAGGAAGAACATGCCCCCAAAACCATAGGATCAGCGTCTTCCCATCAGCTACCTCCACAAGTTGAGATACGAATCAGACCTCCGCATGTGCAACCCGGACCTTCGGCAGTTTTTTTTCTTGCGGCCAGGCCTGCGAAGATTGGCAGTCGCTCGGCCACAGCGCAGAACTGCTGTCTTTGATGGGAAGCCCTCTGGAAGACCATGTTTCGAAAGAGGTTGTGTCAGTCCCTATGTCGCTGGGGCCGTGTGGGTACGCCTTACGCCTTCCAACACGGAACCAGTACCCACTACCACACTCCCAATTGGGGCGTTTGTCCTGTCAAGTGGGTGATGTTTGGCAACACTGTGGGCAACGGCAATGGCCGTTTAGGTTTCTTGCAGTTTTGCTTTGGCGCCACGCACCATGCCTTTGATCTTCAATCAGCTTACCCCAGAAGGATTTCCTGAAACATGTGCGTTTGCAAGTTTCAAAGACCACTCACAGCGGATGATTGGATCCTCCATTACTCCTAAGGATGCCTTAGGTGGTCGCGCAAAGGGGAGCCAAGTTGTGTGTGTGTGTGTGTGTGTGTTTTGGTTCAACCAAACACATCCTTCAGCTGAGGGACAACTCTCCGATTTGGAGCTGGTTGGAATGCTGACCCCTCGCTTTGAAATTGCCTTGCATCGAATGTTGGCTTGGGAACCAGACATCGTTTTATTTAGCCTCGTGGTCCGGAGGTTGGCTTAGGGCCCTCAACTGTCAACGCCCGAATGGCTGGAAGGAGGTGAAACTGGCACAGGCCTTCTGGAAGGCCCAACAGAAACAAAGAGGAGCTCTGGCGCCCCAACACGTCATCCCTGCCTTCTCCCCCTGCACCCCGTCCAACCCCAGCACAACTGCGCTCCCCCGTTGTGAAATTGAGGAGTCCACGTGTGCAGAGCTGCTCGCGGAGCTAGCGCCCGAAGCGGCCTGGCACGGCGCGCCGATGCTCCGAGCGCTGGCGCAGGTGGGATCCATGGCAGAGGGAATTGGACCGGGGAGAGGTGAGCAGGGGAGAACCAACCATGCCGATTTCTCTGTGCAGAGGGTGACTTCTGCACCAAGAGTTTTGAATTGAGGTGCGCTTCTTCCCTCAACAACCATCCAGCGGTGGCGTCTCCATGCCTGGCGACCCTGCAAAGTTGTCATGTTGGCTCCGCTTGAAGGGGGCAGAAAAAGGGGTCTTTGTCAAGGCTCAAGCATCAGATGTGCAATCTTTTCCGACATGCAAGCCATGATTAATGCCTGTGCTTTGTATACGGGAAAGACACGGCTTTCCACTTATGTTGGTGAGGAATGAGCAAGATTCTGCTGGTTGCGGTAGTGTGTATTGCTGTATTTTCCTTTCCCAATCGGCAGAGCAAGCTGCACAAAGATGCATTTCATGAAGGCAAAGGCTGGGGAGTGGTTGGCGTTGGGAACCTCCCATGGACATGTTGATATTGTCAGAATCCACCAGCCTCGCGCCAGGCTCATGCACCGCCACGACTTGTGTGCATTGGTGGCTACAACTCCAACTGGAACAGGCACGAGCCGGTACTCCAACAGGGCGACGCTTGGAGTGGAACGGGCGAGGCAAGGCTTGATTCTGTAGTCACCGGAAGAGCCAAGAGCATAGCTGAAGCTGCCTTCCAGGTTCGGAGCTTCTGGAGCTAAGACTCAAAGCCACAGTAGATATTGACGGATCACTGGAAACATTACCGAATGCATACAAGAGTTCGGGCTTTTAGTTTTGATTCACATTGGTTCGAGAGGAGAGGGTTTTGATTCCTTTGTCTAAACGGGTGAGGGAGTCTCGCTGGCTATCATCGAGCCAAGTACCAAACAGAGGGGCCACGTGTCAATTGTGCACCAACCCTCCCAACCCTCAGTGCCCATCCTTGATCCTACATCTGAATCTGAACCGAAGCCTAAACCGAAATCTAACCCCCAAACCACAAACCCACACTTTGTTCAAACCCAGCACCTGAGAACCCTGAACCCGAAAATTCTAAACCTATAAACCTAACGCCCTAGACCGGAACCCCCCTAAATTCAAGCTCAAGCCATTGCAGATGATCCATGTGCGTAGGCTTCAGATGATCCGTCTCCGCAATCAGGCTAGCTATAGCGCGCCACGAGATAGCGACAGAACAGTAGGATGCATGCGATGCAAGCATACAGCAAATCAGCCTCCGTACTAGGAAACACTACGGAGTGTCAAAACATTCTGACAGTCCAAGTGACACGGGTTTTGCGGGTCAAGAGCATATCTTTGCTTCCTCTCTAATTGGGTAACAGCGTGTTGGGTTGTGTTAGAGATGTCCTTGCACCAGCTTGCCATGCATGCGTGCACGGAGTTGGTTGCCAAGATTCTCACCTAGAGACCTCTCACAAACGCTGCAGTGCATTGGAGCTGTTGGAGCTTGCTGCTTTAGACATTTGGCAAACACGAGAATTATCCATCCTGGGGCGATTTCGAATCGAACGGGATTTGAGGAGGGTACCTGCCTCGCTTTGGACCTTGGTGTTGTGCGAAAGGAACGACCTCAGACAGGACCCGTGTGCTGAGAGTTGAGTCCCACATCCGAGGACGCCGCAGGTTGCGAAATCTCGGCGGAGGTAGTTTGTTCGCTCACAGGCGCGGGTCTTGGGGTTCTGCTGGGGTGGAACCCGGTTTCCCAACAGGCCGCGACTTGCAACTTCTTGCTCGAAAGATAAGATAGTGGGACATGGCGGTTTCATGCTCAAGCCATGCGAGCTAGTGCTGTTTGTTTTGTGGTTGAGGCAAGCGTTTCTTTCCTGTGCAGATCTTTTGCGATGTCGCTTCCGCTCGTGTTATATAAGAAGCAGCAACCCACCAAAGCTCTTTTGTGCTGACCTTCAAAACTGTGGACCGATTTTTCAAAGATTCCTTCAAACCCTGGAACCATTCGCTGCATTTCATGGATATGTGCTTGGGAATTTTGGCTTGGATATACTGCTTTTTAATACCTTCTTGAAGCGGTAGGTATCCAGCTGGGCATGGGGATGACGGAGTGACCAGCTCGCCCATATCCGGGCGCACTGGAAACGCTTTCCAGCTGCTCTGTCCGCCGGTTAGATTGCTCAATCTAATTTCCTTGCTGAATGTCTGGCTGCGCCTTCGTAGACACCACTTGTCAGTCTTTTGTGCTGTTGACCATTAGTTCTTTTGCTTATGTTCATTCATTTTGGCCTGTTTTGTTCTTATGTTTTTCTCTCAAAAAGGCGTTTTGTCCACTGTTTCTTTGCCACCTATACCTACACCTATACCAACAACTTGCCTATTATCTATGCTGTCTATACCCTACATACCAGCAACATTGGTGTTTTTTTGCCGCCTTACCTATGCCTGAAATAGATAGTATCAAGATGGTCTTTTTGCTGCGGCCTCGCGAGGCGACGAGCAAAGCTCGCGCTGGCGGTGCAGGCTGCCTCCGATGCTGCACCCCAGAGCCGATGTTGCTGCAACTCGGAGAGAAGTCAACTTGGTCGTCGATCCAAACCCGGCTCCCCTCACGCTTGCTCGCCTTGCCTTGCCTCGCCTGGCCTCGCCTGGCCTCGCCTTGCCTCTACTCCAACCTGAAAAAGGACCTGTGGAAACCAAGAGGGTGGGTTGGGGGAGCGGGTTTGGATCCTATGAAGGAGGACTCAAACTTCTGCACAGTTCATGTTTGGGGGGCCAGAAGTTGGGGCGGGTTGACCTGTTGTTCGGGCTGGGGGGGGACTTGTTGTTCAGACTCCATCCCCCTCGAACCACAAGTTCTTCCGAGACTTGTTGTTAGGGGGGTGGGGGGGTGGGGGGTCGGGAAGGGTCTGAACTTGCATAAGCAGCATAATCACTGCATACAAGATGCATGCACCTTGCGTGCATAATGCGTGCAAGAATATATACCGCAAGCATACACAACTACACTCTGCATACAGTCGTACAGCAACATCCAAACATACAACAGAGGATGCCACTGGTGTTCAAGAGCTTGTAGACAACCTCCTATGGTAACCAAAAGGGGTCAATTGTCCCCAAACGTTGGCCCAAACACGATCTGGGCACATGTCGCGCGTAGGTTTCCTTTTCATCTCCCTTTACCTTCCGGTTCAAGGGGAGCGACAGTCAGCTGGGGTTGTTCCTGCATTCCCCAATGGGAACAAGAACGTAACATGTCATGGAAGGTGCCAACAAAATTGGCTGGCTTGTTTGCCCTTTCGCCCTTTTGGGCTTCCTTCGATTTCCCCTTCAACCAAACAACTAATATGTTGCAGGGGGTCTAGGTCTGGCCAAGATACTTGGGCGGTACCAAGGTGGTCTCTGGCCCGACCCGTGGGACACTCTTTGCGCTGGGAGGCAGGGTCAACCAAAGCCCACCAAATCAGCAACCTTCAAGCACAAACCTCCAAATGCAGCCTCGAAACATCACCTCGAAGCACAACTTTAAAACACCAAGCATATTTTTGGGGATGTGATTTTGAGGGCGTGACCCAATCCTGTCTCCACTGCCCACGGCTCAATGCCCTTTGTGCGGGCCGCTGCAGAAGAGTGCAGCTTCACCATTGCTAAAATGCACCGGCTCCTGGCCGTGTTAGAGTTGACGAGTTTGTCCAATCATGGTTCGCTTGGGCAAATGCTCTGCAAGGGAACTACACCCTTTGGTAGGGAAGTTTCGATTTGACGGTCTATCCTAGCAGCCCCCGAGAGAAGGGGCACATGGAATTTCATTTCTGGCAGCCCATTTCCCCTCTGTGGGAAGACTAGATAAATGGGAATTTGGGGACTTGAGCCCCACGCTTCACGATGTCCCCTGCAAACTTGGCAATTCATCCATTGAAACTGGCATTGTTAGGCCCAAAACCGCAAAATGGTGGGACCTTCGACAGTCGTTTCCCGTCAAACACCCAAACAACCCCACCCTCCCAAAATTCCCAAACCTCGGCGCTAAGCCGTGGACCTTCCTTCCCCACTCTTTTCGCCTACCGCGCTGCGGTGCCGAAGTTTCGGTAGGGCGACACGGGGAGCAGCGCCACAGCTCGGTGGAGCGGCTGGATCTGCTGGCCTGGCAGGGGGAAAACCGGGGGTGGCAGATGATGCGCCTTGCACGAATCATTGGGGAAAATGGGGAAATCAAAAGGAAGCTACCCCTTTCAAGGGGGGTCCAAAAACGGGTGAACGTCCAAGTGGCTATGTGTCAAATAGGGATTCGGAGCCCCAGCGGGTTTCCTTTTGGTTTTCTACAAAACGGGTACCCGTAAGGAACACGAGCACGAAAACCGAAATGATCACTACCAAGAACCCCGAGCACGAAGGCGAAAACAAACACAAAAACAAAGACGAACGCGACGAACACGAGCACGAGGACGAACGCAAACATGGGCAGGAACACGAACACACACACACACACACACACACACTCTCACACCCAAATGGCGGGTGAGCTTCTGGTCGGTATTTGAAAGGGAAGTTAAAGGGAAACCAACAAGCATTTTGAGTTTTGAGACCCCTGTTTTGAGAAACAGTCACCCATAATTGGTGAGGTGCAATTATCAACTCGTCCAAGCGAATCGACCGGCTGACCGGCTTTGGGCGAAAATGCGCTTTGGGCGCAATGGGGTGGAAGGATCAACCACTGGTTTGGGCAAAGCAACATTTTGATCAGTCGACATCGGTTTGCCAGAAGACTACTGGTCAGAAAGCGAGACAGGAACCCACGCAAGTGACAGGACGCAGCAGATGCACACGGGGGTCTCTATAGAAGGTCTTGCACGTGCTCTACAAACAAAAGCCTTCTGAAGCTCACATAGAAGACTGAAAGAAACTCTACCAATGTTTCTGTAAATCCCGGCCAAGATCTCTGTGGAAGGATCTTTGCAGGATCTGTGGACATGGTCTCTTGATGGGATCTCTTGGCAAGGTCCGTGCGCAGGATCTGCGAGAGAGCAAGCTCTCCTCTACAAGATGAACCTTGGCAGACCCTGCGCGAGATCTGTTGAGTGGATCTCTATGGACCCTATGCAGGTGCAAGATACCTGCGAAGGATCTTTGCAGGATATCTGCGCCAGAACCTCTGGGTAAGATCTCTTTATAGGATACTCTCTGACAACTGTTCTGTGTAGTAATTGCCGGGGGCATCCTCTACAAGACCTCTCGCAAGGAAATCTTTAAAGGACGTTTGTGGAAGGATCTTGACAGAATCTGTGCGCCAGATGTATGGCTGAGATCTCTTCGACAAGACCTCTTGAAAGGAACTCTTTGCAGGTCCTGCACAAGACCTCTTGGGAGGCTGTCGCCGCTGCCTGTCAAGCGATGCATTGAACCATGTTTCCCAGCAAGGAATGAAATCCCGACGACCAGCTCGCAACACTCCATGTTTCGGCGCGTTTTGCGTCCGTGGTCGTCGGCGCATGTTCTAAAGATTGGCACTGACATGCGCAAGGCCTTTGAAGTTCTTCTCCCGCTGTGTGGGCACTTTCTTATGTTTGGTTTCGTGCGCCGCGTGAATTCTGGTGGACATTTTCAGTAGTGTGGTCAATTTGTGGGAGACTTGCTCATGTTCTGATACTCGCCTGTGGATATGGAACCCCAACACCCTCCTTTCGCGGAGGAATCCTTCTGGGGACCCAGGGCCCTACGTTCTTTTGCAGGGGAGTTCCCCTTGTTGAGACATGTTTTGCGCGATGTGTGGCAAGCCCGAGGCCCTCGATGCTGGAGTCCCGGTCGGGCCTCGCAGCCCGGGGCTCGGGGCTGGGGTGGGGCATTCGAAGAAGTCTGCCGCAGCTTAGCAGGGTCGGGTTATTGTGGTTGCAAATGAACTTTGACAAGCGGATGCATTCCGGCGGACGTCGAAACCAGGACAACACCTCACCAACATGGAACCTGAACAGAGCCTCTATTCATGTCAAGGGCGGGTCTTCCGCAGACTTCCCTGTTGTTCCTAGTTCGTAGTGGGCAGGAGACAAAGTTCCTTGCGAAGCACGGTCAAAATTACTTCTTTCCCCAAATCACCCATGTCCCTCCCAATGGATCAGAGGCTTCTAAAGGTGGATTTAACCCCCTTGAAAAGGGGGGATCCCTTACAAGAACCGGGTGAATAAGCATGACATTGACAAGCTAGACTTCAGGAAAACCCCGAAGTGGGTCTGTCTACTGCTCCGTACGGAACTCAGCCCACCCAAGCACCTTGAAACTCCCACCAACGCAGCATGAATGTGTCTTGCTTTGTGCTTCTGAGCAACAGCAACACTAGATCATCACTGTTCATGTGAACAACAGGTCAACATCAAGCTTCACCTACTCGCATACAGAGGACATGGGGGAACAACACAAGCACAGCTTGTAAATGGGGGGTGCGTGCCCCAACCTCCCGTCATATCAGTGGAGGGTAATCGCTGCAGATGTGGCCCTTCTGGCCCACTCATGAAACAAACAACACAAAAGTGGATGAATAGAGCCAAACTGGAACCTGTTCCAACCAAACTGAGCTAAAACGTCATTTGCTGGGACCAGAAGCAGAACCGGGTTCTGTATGAACCGGGTTCTGTATGTTCCATGGTTCCAAGAGATCTTGGCACGAGAGCCCGCCGGCCTAGGCGAGTGTGATGGGAGGAGGCCTCATAGTCGCCGGCGGGAGAAGTAGTACCAAAGGGGTACTAAGGCCGGCTGGGCTGACGAGGTGTTTAAGGACCTGATGTTGAGCTGTATGCAACATGTCAGAACCCGCTTTGCTGCAGTCCTGGAGGTTTCAAAGGAAAGGCCCTCGCTTTTTGTGTTGGCGGTGGCGATCTTGGTGTGTTGGGTTTTGAGCTCTCTTTCCGTCTCGTACGACGTAGTTTCACTTGCCCACTTGGGGACATAATTTGTCTAGCCTTCCCTGGTGGACATCAACATGTAAATGACCTACAGAGTCCCAATTTCGGTTTATGTGAGGTCGGAAAAGCTTTGGATTCCAGGCCGTTAGAAGCACGTGCGTGCGTGCGTGCGTGCGTGCGGGCGGGCGGGCGGTGTCTGTGTGTCTGTGTGTCTGTGTGTCTGTGTGTCTGTGTGTCTGTGTGTCTGTGTGTCTGTGCGTCTGTGTGTCTGTGTGTCTGTGTGTCTGTGTGTCTGTGTGCCTGTGTGTGTTTGTGTGTGTGTGTGTGTGTGTGCGCGTGTGTGCGTGCGTGTATTTGCATGGTGCCATTTAGGCAACCAAAGGAAAAACATCCGTTTTGTGGGTGCCCCCATCTTGACACATGCCCAAAGCTTCGCCAGGGAGGTCGAGTTTTGGCAGCCGGGGGGGGAATGGACTCTGGCGCCCTCGATGCAGCAGCCCCGCCCGGCTCCCGGCTCCGTGTTCCTTCGGGTTCAAACGTATATCGCCTTCTGGCCCAGATTTGACTCCGTTATTGTTTGGCTCTGATATTTTATACGAGGGACATCTACGGGGGAACCCTGAAAGGGCTCTTCGGAAATCGGCCGAATCCTGTTCCTTGCCAATGTTTTTGTTTTTTTGGGCCAAACGCGTTTGGTGTGGTGTCTCGAATTGATAGACGAGATCTGCATTGATTTGGCACAGCCCTCGTTACCCAAGCGTTTCTGGACTTAAGTGTGCGAGCCCACCCTGTTTTGAAGGAATTGGAAGAAGCTGGAGCTAGCAGCCATGTTGTATGAGGTCAAGGCAAGGCAATCCTACAGCTGCATGGTTCTGCGAGTCTCTGTCGAAGGTGTGACCTGCCAGTAAACTGCTCAGAATGATATTTAGTCTAGTTGCTCGGTGATTGTTTGCTTGTTTGGTGGATCGGTCTGTTAGTGGGAGGTTTGTATGTCGGTCGCTGGATGGTTTGGAACCTGCTGCTCGTTCTTCCTTGTCTTGATTCGAGGCAGCTCCGGGCTCAGAGTCTGAGAGCACCTTGTTGTGTGATCGCAAGGGGAAGCCAAAGGGACCTGCAATCATGTTGCGCATTACTGTACCTATTTTGTGACAGGCTGCGCAGCTCAGCCGAGTTCGGATCCGGTTTTGCTGATTGCCACATCACGCGGGCCCCAGCTTTGAATGGTAAAATGGCTAGTGGACACAATCCCCGAGCAAATGACTTTTGGGCGAGCGTCATGGCCACCAAGTTCGGTCGCGTCAAGCTGGCTCGAGCAAAACCCAGGCTGGGCCCTTTCATATACTTGGTGCGCAGCTGTACCAGATCGCAGCCATGAATCTGCTCCGTTGCATGTTGGCGCTGGTGCCAGCTACTGCCTATTTGTGCAACGACGGCACCTGTCATACCGAGCTGTCTGCCAGTTTTCTGCAGGTGGAGAAACAGAGGCGGAAAGCAGTCAGCGAACATCCCTGGCCACATGCCCGGGGCAAGGCACCTCACCAGTTTGGGAACACACAGGAGGTCTGGACCGACCACAAGCTGAGCTGGTCCTACCACCATCCAGACGGCAGGCTCCAGGGTTGCACTTAAGGCTGACTTGAAGGGTTGGCACTTATTGTTTGAATGTTTGGAGACTTAGCATTTGGGGTCCCCTTCTAGGTTCCACAACATCATGGCAGGGGGCCCGGTGATCGATGTAGATAAGAACCTGTACCTGATGTCCGGCAAGGGCTTGATCGCTTTGTCTCCCTCGGGAGACGTGCGGTGGACCTACGAGACCCCAGGCCCCTGCAACAACGAGGCGGGCTGTGTTTTGGGTTTGCCGAACCGCTGCCTTTCCTCCCTCACAGAAGGGGCCTCTTGAAGCACAGGTCACGTTGCACGGGGACCTGGTGCTGGGCACCACCAAAGAAGGCAACGCCTTTGCAGTGGACCGGCACACGGGCAAGACCCAGTGGGTCACCAAGCTGGCGAAGGACGCTGGAGGGGACTGCGGGCAGCCTGGCAAAATGGCCCGAAACGAGAAACGCCCCGTGATCCCTTGTGGAAAAGCTCTTGGACTCTCAGTTCTTCCCTTCTTTCTATAGATTTTGGGAGAGCCAAGGAGCCAGGGATGATTAACATCCCTATCGAGGACCTAAAGCGCCCCAATTACTCTCCAACATCATAGGTTGAAATCATGCACAAATGGCAACAGCGCAAAGGGTGTCTCTCTTCAGCTGGCTCCTGGGCCAGGTATCCAGCGGCCTTCAAGGACGTGTTTGTGGTGGGCGCCTTGCTCAGAACAAAAAGGTTCCTGTGTCCACAGGCTGTTCACTTCGGTAGTCGTTCTGTTCTCAATTCACAAGTGGTGTCCCTGACCGACTCAAACTGGACAGAACACAGGGGGATTTTCAAGATGCTTGGTTGCAAGTCAGGGTGTTCCCTTGCCTTTGAACTCGGCCGGACATGAAGCTGACGCGTCGCCACGCCGGGTCAGCCTTGGGTGTACTTTGGCTGAGATTTCCCAGCTCAGACCCATTCATGGCAACTGCCTGGGTGAGTTATAACGACCTCACACGACCTCACCCCAAATGGTGGTTTATGTGGGGAATAGCCCTCCAACCACCTTATTTATTTCGGGTTGGTGAAATATGATGACTCACCCACTGCCAGCTGCATGGTTGAGGGTGCAGATGTTGCAAGTGGAAAGCAGCCGTGTGCCGCATTCCCTTCGCTTGCAGGTGCCCAGCAAGCAAAGGAAAACCTCACGGGCGGGAACTGGTTGGTGATGGGCCTGAAGACCGACAGTGGGGAGAAGCTTTGGGAGTATGAGGTGGGCTTCACATGGGGTTGGGGGGAAATGGACACCAAAGGGGAACCACCCATGTTTGTGGGTACGCCTGTCTATGAAGCCTTATATAATATACCCACGCATATTATATATATATATATATACAGTACATATTATATATATATATGTATTATGTGTGGTGAGTCCCCTAGTAAAGTCCTTTCAAAGAGTACTTGTGCATTGGCCGTGCGCATCTTTGTTGCAAGACTGCCTGGTGTCGTGGCTTTCAATGAGTTGTAAACGGATGTTCACGATTCAAGATGGGGCATCATGGGTATTTTGAGCTGTTCGCGCTTTAACAATCTGCACTTCATCAGTGGTTGCTCGCGTTACACAGTTGCCAAGTGAACAAACCACGGACTTGTCTTTCTTTCTTAAACAAGCATGTACACCAATGTGAACATGTTTGTTTGTTCGTCCTGAAGCTATATTCAATGTGCCAGTCACAGCCTACAGTACAAAGCAAACAACAATTGCCAAACAAGCTGAGAAAACCGACAAACACCAAAACACAGATTCTGTGGAAGAAGCTTTGGGTGCAGTCCCGAGCTTCTTGTTGGGGTTTCTCAAGATGTTCAGTGTTGCTTTTGATTGAGACCTGCAAAAACACAGAAGGGAGCAACTCACTTTGGTCAACGTTTTACTCGCCGCGGCAAGCAAATTCATAGCTGTCTTAGGAGCCTGGTTTTTCCTGACACAACAACCGTTTTCTTTTCTTGTCGGACTGATGCTTGTGTTCGCATCGCAAGTTGAAAGTAGGGTTGCCACTCGGGAAAGGCACGTTTTACGTGAGCAAGGCGTACTCCTTATTTCTGTGAGCGTTTGTTTGGGCTCGGAAGCCATAGACACTTTGCTTTGGTATCGTTTCCCTGCATAAAATGCTTGATGATGCCGACAGTCCTAGCATGAGACGTTGATATGTTTACGACTTAAATCGAAGTCAAACACATCCAAAATGATTCACTCTCCAAAACTTATGAACTCTCAAAGACAGACTTCTGCTATATATTTTTCACTAAGTTATTCACACTTAAAGGCTTGATGATGTGCAAATGGTACGGCACCGGAACGGAACAGCCCGTCTGGGCAAAGACCCCAAAGGTTTCAGCTGGGGAAGAAGGAAAGCCAAAGCTGGCTGTTCCAACAGGGTCGGCCCAACCCTGTCTATCGACAGGCGGACAAACCCGTGTGGAACCTGACTCCACTCTTCCCTGGCGCTCCTTAGCTTGAGACCGGGAAGGGCGGTTGCGTTTGCAGATCTTCTTTTTCAGACCCTTTTTGATTTTGTTGTTCTTTTTCTTTGAACTTGCCGATGGCAGTCGCTGGAAAAGGGGTGTGGCTAAGGGGGGCTGAGTCAGCCGACGATCTTGAACACTGGACAGCGTTGACCATCTTGGAAATGCAGCGGTGGGGAATTTGAGTTTTGAGTGGGGTGATAGCATAGTAGAAGACCACCTATCTGATCTGAGATCGGGTTCCCTTTCTCCCAGTCTTCCCGAAATCTTGGCTTGGATCCCCGGTAGTATGCAGGTTCTACAGCTTCCTTTGGCTTGAAGTCTCTTTGGGTAGGTACACCTTAGCAGTCAAGGTTGCAAGGTGTGGCTCGCAGCGGCTCACTTTGTTGATGGTGTTGCCAGGACAGGGTTGGTTGGGAGTGTTGTTTCAACAGCTAGACCATTGCTCTACGCCAGCAGGATGTTGTCGACGCACATCTGGCTTCAAGGGGTTGAGTCACTCAACGGCCAAGGATGACACGGTGGCTTTCATGGACTTCTCAGGCGGCATCTATCGCCTCGGCCTGAAGAATGGGACCGAGATCTGGAGGACCCCGGCACGCGAGTCCCACGACAGCTCCCCGGCAGTGCCAGGCTCAGCCGCCGACTTATGCGTTATCGCCCTTTGTGGTTATCTCGATAAAACGAGGAACCGCAAAAGCCAGAAAACAGGGTGCTGCAGCACCGTCCTGTTGAGTGGAGTTGCTGGAGAGTGCAGGGCTGCTGCATGGTGCTGCTGTGGCGACGCATGTTGGGCCCATAAGTAGAATCGTAGGATTCCGTTTTTGTCTCCTTTTAGTCCCGTGCCTGAAAGTGCCATCGTGCATTTCATCAGTGAAGTTCCCTTCTCATACAAATACGGAAAGCACCGCCATATGTTTGGCAAGTGTTGTTTGTAGGTAGAGGTAACCAGCTTGCCAATCGACATGCATGGCTATGGGAAGGGTTGCGCTTTGCCTTTGCAGATTATAGGTGTTCTTGCGTGTCAATACGCCCGTATCGCTGGTAACGTGTACAGACCCATGTCTCCCAATTCTCAACGCCATGGTGTTTGGCGTTGACGGCTGTCGCCTTGAAGTAGCACCTGTGAACGAAGCAGTGGCCGGAGCGGAAAGGGCCAAACAATCCTTCGCAAAGATCCGGGAGCAGCGTCCCTGAGTCCGAGCCCCCGCTTGAGCCCATGGACTGCGGAGGGGGAAACTCTCGCCGGATCGTCTTGCGCAGTGACCGAGAGCGCATCCACCTCACCGCGCGCCAAACCTACGCCCCACGAGGCTTCCAGCGCAACCAGACAGTGAATCTCGCCCAGACAGGGCCCAACGTGGAGGAAGTGCTTCTGCTCGCCACGATGCCATCGTTTCCAAGCTACAGGCCGGTCACACAGAGGAAAAGAGGTGGTTTTACCAAGAAGCGTTGAAGCAACTCAATGGCAAGCGTGAATCGGTGGTCCGGGGCCAAAGTTCAACGAGGTGAGGCAGCGATGGGATGCGCACAAGCGCGAAGCTGAGGATCACCCAGACTTGCGAACAAGCAGATTCAGGCACATTTGACCGGCTTTAGACGTGTTTCTGGGAAAGATTTCGGGGTCTGAAGAGGTCTGAGGGGTCTGACAGCTTTGTGGCCCTCTCGAAACGAGGCTTTGATTGGGCTCACGGGAGGGGACAGACAAAACGCAGACAAGGTTGATCTGTCCTCCAGCGCACAAAGCTTGATGTCCACGGCGGTGCAATTGGGACACCATGCTTCCCTTGCAACCTCAAATAGTGGGTTGTTCATTTGCTTGAAAAGCATGTTTAAGGAATCCGCCTCAATAAGCCCGCCCCCCCCCTCAAGGTTGACAAGGTTTGGGAAAATCAGATTTTGGGGGTGAACCCTCCCCCTAATAATTGATCTGCAGGACTTGAGGCTTGAGAAGCTTGAGGATTGAGGTTTGGAGGCTTGAGGTTTCTGATCAGCTGCCAGGCTCTCCGGTCCTTTTGTGGACCCCTGTTTGGCCAATAGGACTGCAATAGGAAATTGCACTCTCTTATTTTCCAGGGCTGGAGAGGGGCTTGATTAATCAGAGGGGGTTTTGTGTTATTCGGGGGGGCTAGCCTTGAAGGGGGGTACCCTTTGCGAGCTTGTCAAACCTTGTTTTTGAAACAAAATGTATTAATAAATTTGCTGTTTCCGGCTAGCCGTTTTTTTTTGATTTCTGGAATGGCAACCCTTGAGACTATGAAAGGAGTTGGTCTTGGCAAAAGTATCGGCAATAGCTTTGGCAATTTAAAATGCATTGTTTCCGGAATTTTGGGCCGGACAGAGATGTGTTTAATCAGGGGGGTTTTTGGAGGTGCCCACAAAAAAATAAGGGGCGTATTTTGACCAAACCTTATGGATACCTTTAAAGTAGTATTGCCTGGAAATGGTCTGGGGAAACCGGACGTCTTTAATCAAGGCGGGTTTATTAATCATGTTCCACCATTATGGGTGGCGCAGGCTTGGTTGGTTAGGCAGCGCTTTCGGGCAGGCTGCTAGTGATTCAGGGTAGGTTTAGGGTTGGATGGATTTAGGGTTGATGGGGTCCATACAACGCGGTTTTCGGGAGCCCTCCCTCCCTCTCTTTAAGCATAGCCAGGGCACTATTCTTATCAGTTGCGCAAGTAGGAATGCTTGTTTTCGGGTTGGCGCCGGGGAGTATCGCTGTAGGTTTTGTGAGCATTAGTTGCGGTGTCTCCTTTGGTTTGGCGCCTGGAATCGAGAGCTACAAAATACATACAGTATGTTCATATTTTGGAGGCATTTTTCCGCGTGCGGGAAGCTATGACAGATTGTTCACCCTTCATTGCTTTGGCGCTGGCAATACTTTGGTGTGTGTGTCGCCATTCTATTTTCTTTGTTATGTCCTGACTCTGGTGCAGGAAAGTACCTTTGTCATTATCCAATGTGTTGCGCTGCGAATACCTTTGCTAAGGCGCCAGTGGCATTTGTGAGCTTCTCTTGTTTAATGAGTACTGGTTCTAAGATGCCGGAAATTTGCGCTACGCAGGTTGCGCACGCACACAATTATTTTTTGCACCCGCTGGCTGATCTGGCGGTAGGAGCCTCACATATGTATTTACATTGACATACACGCACACACACACAACAGTCCAGGGATATTTTGTGGTGTTTGGTGTTGACGCAAGGATCATCGTGTCTTTTTGCACGACTTGTTCCCTAACTTTGTGGATGTGCTTTGCTTGTCGGCCTTGTTTTTTTTGGACAAACAAGAAGTAAATGAAGCAAAGTTTCACTTGTATTGGCCGATGTTGAAGGCAATCAACATCAGAGTGCTGCCATCCTTATGACGAAACCGTTCCCCTTGGTTTCCCCAGTCAGAAACAAACCCGAACATGTTAGTCTACTACACGCGGCGCGGATTTGGCAGCCCAGGCTTCTCTGATGGGGGTGCTGGGCTGGGCCCCAATGATTTCATGTACAGCTGCAGCAACTTCAGGGACTCCACCGGTCAAGAAGGGCAACAGGGCGTGGCCAGGGGTTACAAGCTGTCAGATGGCTCTTTGCCGCTTTGCTCAAGGCCGCTGGCTGCGCGAGCTGCTGGGGGGTGGTGTGGGGAAGTAGGACTGGAGAGCCATTCTCAGTGGTTGGTTTAGAACATGTTGTTAAAAACAATGTTGCGGTCTTGAGGGCCTGCGGCATTGAGAGAAAACGGCGGGCATCATGTCCAATCAGCAAACCCTTTCCACTTGTTCCTTTGCCTTCAATTGAACATCTCGTGCTAGCTGAGGCAATGGGAGCGCATTCTGTCCTCGCCGTGCAACTCCTATCCTGCAGTGGGCCATGTCAAGGGTAGCGATGCCCTGGCCGTGGTGGTTACGCCTGGGTCCTTCATGGGAGCTTTGGCGCAAAAGGCCGGCTTGGTGCCGGCGGGTTGTTAAACACTCAGGACACATGACATCCGGGGCGCGGGGCGCGCTAACGTCAGCGGGTGACCTTCAAGCAAGCCTTGAGCAGCGCTGTTGCCAGTGCTGTTGCTCGCTTTTCCCGTGCCTGGCACATCAAATCGCCAGAGGCTGCGAAATCAAAGAAAATCTAAGATTTCTTATCTTTTGAGCAAAGCGCAAGAACACAAGCTGTGAGGACTTCGTGTGGAAGCGCTGGGAAGCGCTGGATGAAGAACCATCCAGCGTGACAGCGCACTGCGACTTAACCTGCAACACGAAATCGCACGTGCGTGGGCTGCCAGCACCAAGAATCTGACAGCTGCCCCGCGCCCGCCGAACACGTCAGCCACTTTGTGGGTCTGTGCTCAAAAACACCCCCACGCAGAGCGTGCAAGTTTCACTGCTGCCCCTTTCCAGCATCGCGCCAAATCTCATCCCAGGCGGGGATGAGACATGTTGGCCATCAAGTGCTCATCGGCGATGACCGTCCAAAGGACAATTGAATTGATGCCTTCCGTAATAGCAAGCCAGGGATGTGTCTTCGGGCATCAGCGTTTATCTCGTAATGTGCTAGAGTGTCATTACTATCACCCAATTCCATATTTGGCTCAAGCTTGCTTTTCTGAATCATAGCGACCCATTGCATTGGCGCTACGCCAGTTGTAAGGCCTCGTAACCGCCGCTCCAGCTTGGCTCGCCGCGTGCGCGGCCGGGGGGGGAGTCGACATACGTGACCCCGAAGACCCAGATGCTACAGGAGGGTTCGGCAGGTACATGAGGAGACATCAGGGTTGCATGACGTTCAACTGGAGCTGCTAAGGGACAGCTGCCGGTCCCCCAGATCCGGCACGAGAGCTGTTTGTCGCCCTCCCCCCAGGCGGGCAAAGGTGATTCTGATCAGTAGATATATTTTTTTGGGGAGGCTTACGGAAGGGGTGGTAGGAAAAGCAAACGGAAGCCAACTCTTGTAGGGGTCTTCTTAAAAGAAAAATAAAGAACACACACACAATCAAACAGACCCACGTATGCTCACTCGCGAAGCAAGGACGGCCAGGCCTGCATGGCAGCGTGCTCGCCCTGGATGCCGCGACCGGGAAGGACATCTGGGAGTTCCATGCCAAGCCTTTTAGCCGCCTGCTGTGAAGTTGCTTGCTCCCGTCGACGGCGGTTGGCTCGAAGGTTGAATCCACCCTGTCGACCACTTCTTGAATCGCATAGGGGGATTGGGGGGGGGGCGTAGCCTGCGTTAGTGCGACTGGGGCCAACTTGGCGACACGCCTACAAGGCCAACCACTTGCGGGGCTCAAACAAGGGGCCGCTCTGTACCAAGGCGGGCTCGGCTTCCAGGCTGCCGGTGACTTCGAAGGGGCTCTGACCAGGCATGCTGCGGGTGTTCAGGACGCTGATGGGGATCGATGAGGGATGCTACCCAGACAAATTGCAAGTGTTTGTGGCGTCGAGCAGGCTTGTTCTCTCCACGCCAACAAGCGGCGGCCGCCGCCAATTTTGCGGATTTTCACATTGTTTGGTGATGCACATGCTGTTGGGGCATACACCAGGTTCCCCTGCCATAGTTTCAACACGATACCCTCAACGCAAACCTGCCAAGACTGAAAGGTCAGCGTGAGCGCATTCAATGGCAAGTCTGCATTTGGTTGCGTTTCAATGTGCAAACTGAACCTGAAATTCAATTCAAATTCAGGGAACACCCCCCAAACTGATTTGTGGACGTGAATCCGCATGTTGTTGATGTCCACCAAGGGTCTCCAAATCAAATTCATACTGGTTTGGAATGTTTCAAATCAGGCAGCTGTTTGCGCTTGTTTCTGCATGTGTTTACCTTCCCGTTTGTTGGTTTGCCTCGCGCAAGTGCTCTTCGGCATAGGAATCAGCACGCCGGCAGAGCTGGGCTATGTTTCGACGTGAAACCGAGGCTTACCAAGGCCCTTTCGGGCTTATGTTTTACTCCTGACTTTGCTTGGTTGTTCTTCTTTTTGAACCCGTTTGCCATCCTTTGGCAGCTCCGTGTTGCCATGAATTTGACCCGCAACTTGTTCTGCGTTCAAGCTATCAAAGAGCTCCGGCACCCGTCAAGTGAACATTCTGGATTGCCTTTTGCGTCAGAGGTGGATTCTATTATAGATACTGCAAGCGCACCAAGCGCCAACCATGGGGAGTGTGTTGGGTTTCCCTTGTTTCCACGAGTCAAGCGTGAAGTTGGCATTTGACAATTATGCGATAGACGCAGGGATCAATCACAGGGTGGGTGATAAAGATAACTGTTCCATCCATTTTGGAGGGAAGCTCATCGTTGCAGGGGTTCGCCAGGGCTGTTGACTCTTGACCTGCGGGTGAGCAACTAGCAGCAGCACGAGTCTTGGGTTTTCCGGGTCCTTTCGGGCCAATTGTCCAAGCACCCCAGGAAAAGGTTGCTTTCGTCAGGACGATGCACCAGGGTCGCTGTGGAATCTGAACCTCAGAACCTTTGGCAATTTAGGAACCCTCATTTGCTTATGTTACTGTGGTTTGTGGTTGCTTCGCTCGCAACATTTGGGCAATCCACCGTAGTTTCGACCCCATCGGCCATTTGTGCCATGGCAGAAATCTCCTGGTTTCACGGGGCAGTGTGGACCCCTCCAACATATTGGATGGAACCAACGTTTGGGGACACAGAACCCCAAAAAGGGCACCCTCCAAAAGGGGGAAGCTTCGTTTCGCGTTTCCCATTTTCTCGCCGAAAGGAGATGTGCATCCCAGCGCATTGGAGCGCTCCGATCATTGACGGCCAGGGCACCGTGCTGGTGGGCCGCTCTGACGGGAAGCTGTACCAGGCAGGAAGCCCCAGAAGTTTTTGGACCTTAGTTGGGTTAGGCACCGTTGGGGGGGGTCCTTTAGGGGAATAAAGGTGTTTTTCCTATGTTTCGTTGGTTTTTTCCTGGTTTTCCCTGGTTTTCTTTGGTTTTTTTCTGGCTTTTGCCCTGGTTTTTCTATGTGCCCCTTTGTTTTGCCTGGGTTTGTCAATTGGTGGACACTTGCCGGCAGACTGGCGGAAGGAACACACAAAGAAGGATTTTCCTGCAAAATGGTGGTATGTTGGGCAATTGGATCTGCTCCCAACAAATTCCTCAAATCAGCCCACAAACATATTTTGCACGGCTTGCGAATACGCGAGTTGGCCGGGATCATTTTTGTAGGGAAGCACCCATGTGGCTGTCCTTATCCCGGCAAGTGACCCCAAACAGTGGTTAGAAAGTGAGACAGTAGTTGGAAAGTAGCAGCAGCAGATGCACACAGGGTCTTGAAACAGGTCTTGCACGTGCTCTTCAAACCGAAGCCTTCTGAAGCTCCTATAGACGATCTTCTGTGGAAAGAGGTTCCGATGCAAGTTTCATTTGCAAGAACTTTGCGTTTCTGTAAATCCCTGGACAAGATCTGTGTCAGAGTTACCTTCTAGACTCTCTCTGCAGGATCTGCAGAGAGCGTCCTCTGCAAGATGCCCCGCCACGAAACCTTGGCAGGTTCCACGCAAGATCTGCTGAGTGGACCTCTATGCAGGTCCAGCACAGGATATCTGTCGAGCATCTCTGCGCAAGATCCTACTCTCTACGAGTCGGTGGGGGATCAGATCTCTTGAAGGCTCTCTTGGCAAGATCTGTGTGCATGATCTCTGGACAGGATCTCTTGGCAAGATGTGTTCGCAAAATCCTTTGGAGGCAGCCGAAAACATGTATGGGAGGATCTTTACAGTTACAGGATCTTTTGCGCGCCGGAACCCATGAATTGTTTATGTATACTTCAGTCAGACAAAAGTTTATGCTTCTGAAGCCTGTTTTAACAAGTGCATTTTGTGGGGCGGGCGTGGGACGGTCAATTATCACCCTGTTTTAAACTTATACTAAAAAGGCTTCCCAGGTCCAAAATTGACCGCGCGCACCCTCGTAGGTCTCTTCCTGAAGGATTTTGGGATGCAGTCGCTTGACCTTCAAAAGAGGTTTTTTTCTGACCAGTGTATAGAGTTTTTTGTGTTCAAGGTCTGTAGGGAGCATGCCTGAGGGGAATCTGTCCAGGTCCTGCGCAAGAGCTCTTTAAAGGACTCTCGACAAGATCACTTGGGAAATATGTCCGCGTCCTGCGCAACGGCTCTTCGGACCAGCAGATATTGCTGAAGGATTTTTACAGGATCTTTGCGCAAGATCTCTTGACGGGCGCGCAGGATCTCTGGATAGGATTTCTTGGCAAGACTTGCGTGCAGAATCCATGATAGGATCCTCTATGTGCTGAAGTTTTGTCAGGACCTACAAGATCTCTTGCAAGAATGTCGCCGTGCCACAGCCAGAGCGATCCGACCCACGCGCCGCAACGAGAGCGATCAATGTCCGGAGAGGTGCGGCGCCGCGCAGACAGTGATTCAACGCGTATAAAGTCCTCAGAGGGTTCGCCGGTACACCGTTTTCGGAGTTCGCGAAGCGCCGCAACGAGAGCCCACTCTCGAAACACGCACCAAACCCAGCCAACCACTGTGCGAGCCAGCGCAATTGAAATCTCACAAGGGAACTTGCACGCCAGCCCGCGCACGGTCGAAATGCATGTCAGGATTTTGCAACGTCACGATCGTACGAAACAATGGCACCAGAAAGTCCGACCCAGAGCGAGCGCCCTGATGTAACCCCGGCCCTTTACCCTTGCAAGAACCCTTTAGTGTAGACCCACAGAACCTGTTCGGCTTCTGAATCGCTTTACAAAACTTTCTGCAATCCTTTAGCCCTCAATGGTCACGGTCGGGTTCAGCTATGGAAGATTATATTTTGCGAAGCTATGAACCCTGGACTCCCTCCCGTTGCAAGTTTGTCAGCCATGCGCAATATGAGCTGGGTAGCCTTCGGGTGATTCTTGCCTACCCTCACATTAGCTGAGTAACCAAAGCTTGACTTCAGGGATGCCTCCTTGGAAAATGGTGCGGAATTGAATCACAAGCCCTTTTTTGGCTGCTCTCCTTGTTTTCACCCAATATTTTTGTCCCAAAACATGATGCCGCGCAGGTCTTTGGGCCAGAGGCGCAGTTCGGGGGGTCCAAGGATCACGCCACAAAGGAGCGGGGCGCGAATTTGCGCACGCCGGTTTCGCTCGCGTGGGGGTTGCGATGAGGTCCAGAATTCCGGAGGTTAATGCGGATTCCCAAACAAGAGTTCCTTTTTGTGTTCCATATTAATTAATTCGCTCACAGATGCTAAGAGCGTAGTAGCGGCACCGTGTAGCCCCCCTCTCAACCAACCCCAACAAACCTAGAGTCCTTTGCAGGTTAACGCATCACCCCAAAATCATCCACGAAGACGCCATGTTAGCAGCACTAAGGCCTGAAATATTGAATCCCCAAACCACGGAGGACCTTGTTTTTGTAGGAATCCTTCGTGTTTGAGAGCGGCGGGCTTTTTCTGAGGGTCTTCTTGCTTTATGTTAGTGTATTGAAATTTATTTTGCCTGATAGTTTGAGCAAACATTCGTGCAGCACAACCCTGATTTTGTGCCATGTTAGACTTCTTTTCTAGGCGGAAGCTCATTCCCCAGCAAGTTTCCCATGCTTTGATTGAGGGAAAATCGTTCTCGGTATTGCGATTCATTGCCGGGCTATGTCGCTTGATATGTTTCCGAAAGCTCCTGCCAAGGACTCCTTAACAAGCTTTCCTTTTTCTCCGCCGGTGACCTACCTTGTAGGGAGTACGGTTAAGTTAAACCAACCCTCAAAATGGCGACCTCAACCAAAACTTGGGTTTCCCTCTCAACAAATTCAAAACGGCTAGAGGCCTTTGCAGATCAATGCACCTCAAGGCAGGAAGACCCAGAGAGTGTCACATGTTCCACGTTAGTAGCACGAACTCCTCAACTATTGAACCCCCGAAATATTGCGGGCGACCAACATTCTTGGTTCAACCAAACAAGTGCGCACCCCAAAGCCACAGCGGACCTTCCTTTTGTAGGCACAATTTGTTGCTTTCCATGTTAAACTTTTGGGGGAAGCCCAAAAAGGGTTCCCTCAACCCAAACTTTGGTTTCCAAGCCAACCCCAAAAGGGCTAACATAGAACACAGGGCTTTTCCCTTTGCATCTTGATTTCCCCTGAAAGTTTGACCAAACATGAGCGGACAACCCTGACTTTGCGCCACTTTAGTCGTTTTTTTCTGGGCAGTGGGAAGACTGGGCCAAACAAAGTGGAAGCTCAGTCCCCAGCAAATTTTCCATGTTGGCGCCATGTTCTAACAAGGGAAAGTCGTCCCTCGGTCGTACGATCAATTGGGGGGGGCGTAGGTCGGACCATGTTCTTGACAATCGAAGTGGCTGTCTCAGGTGAACTCCGGGGTGGTTGCGAAGCTGCTGGACGTGAAGAGCGCCTCGCTGCACGGTGCACTGGCGGCGGCGCCCGGGATGTTCGCTATGTCCACCTGCGATACACTCTTCGTCTTCCAGAAGTAAGGGAGGAGGTGACGGCGACGGCGGTGGACAGGTAGGTGGTTTGAAGTCAAAAAAGAAGTGGGTCTCCAATTTGGGCTGTATGAAGTGTATGTAGACCTTAAACATCACTTTGCGGCAAGGTCGATTGAATTGAGGTTGCATCAGGTTGCCAAATTCGGTGATTTTGAATGTTTGGAGGTAGGAATTCTTGCATGGGCTTTGGCCAACGGAGATACCGCTGCAGTCAAAGCTTCGGCAGAACGAGGTCAAAATGAGCGGCTGCGATGCAAGGGCAAGTGTGGAAAGCGCGGGCCTCCCAAATGTTTTCACCGGTAGCCCTCCATGACCCGCGCGAAGAAGTGGCAACCAGTTTTCCCGGGATCGCAAGCTGATCAAGCCTTTCGCCAAGGCGAATACGCTGCCTGCGTCACAGTGGACGACGAGTTCTGGGCACCTTTGCGGTTGATGGCGGCGGGTAGTGGGCGGCAGGCGGCGTAGGATAAAATCCGTCTTGGCAATTCTGCAGGTGATTCAAAATGGGCCTTTTATCATCATAGAACCAAAGGCAAATGGGTTGGACGCTGCTCGAGGAGCCTTGCCAGATGTTCTCTCTACAGAAAAGCGTTGGAGGGCCGCAACCATTTGACACACGCGCCCGCTGGCGAGTTGCAGACGGGAGACATGATTCGCAGCGTGGACAATTCCGACAAACATGGGCCAGGACTCCCAATTCCTTTCCAGGATGTTTTGAATGGAAGTGGATGACAGTGGTAAGTGGTAAGGGCGTCGCAGAAAGTTTTGCGACCTCGGTGCGCGCAAAATCCACTGGCGCTTGATCACGAACAAGGTGTCGAGGTGTGCCAACCTTCGCACTCTGGAGTTTTCAGAGCTATGAACTGCTTGAATTGGTGGGCGGGTTTCACTAGCTGTCAACCTCAGGTCCATCAGTTCATTTTGACTGGCCTCGGCATTGGGCGGTTTGCGAGCCAACTTTCTGGGCGATGCCATGTGGTGCAATTTGCGACCGAGGCGCTCGGGGGCGGGGAGACAGGGCGAAGCAGCACGGTGGAGATCTGGAACGCAGAGAGCGCCCATTGGCGCTGGGGCCCCGAGCTCAGGCAAGGCACGGATTGAAGGGGTGGAGGGTTCATTTCTTAGTCTGAACGACTCCAGAGATAGGACCCATAGCTGTGCGCTGACAGGAATGAAGCAGGAAAGGTAAACTCAGCACATAGCCCAAGGCTCCTGACGTCATCTCTTAACTCGTTTCACGGGATTCGCACAACCACCAACAAGTTTCAGGCCGAGTTCTGGCCAATTTATCACAGTTTCGAGCTTCCAGCCTTGCTTCACACCTGTGACCACTCAACCACAAGCTGTCTCACATAGACTGTCCGTGGTCTGTTGTGTCCGCGCGTCGCTCGAGACTCGCCTTGCTCATCAGCCCGCACATGTGCAAGACATGTGAAACTTGCGAGGCCTTGGAGCCTGGGAGAGACTTGCTCTGAAACTGGCTGGTATTGGCGTGGAACTCGTGAAACTCGTGAAACTCGTGAGAACTCTAGGAATAAGAAACCAGTTTAACGAGTT